GACCCTCGCCGTGACGTAGGACGCTACAAGTAGCGACGGCGCGGCGGCTCTCGACAGATGGCGGCGGCGTTGTCACGTGGGTACCTGCCGCGCGACACGACCCCACAAAACCCACGTGTGGCCCAGTGGTCTCGACGCCGGGCGAGATGGATCGTTATCATGACACAGCAACTGATGTGCGCATTCGAACTCAGCAGGGCTCCTACGGCCACTCCACATGGCCCTCCCTCCCTCTCGCGCTGTGCACCACCAGCCCCGTGTGGCCTTCTGTTGAGGACGCTCAACCCGGCCACATTGTGCACATTCACTCAGCGTGGGGGGTGGGATAATCCAGCAGTGGATAGGCCATGGATGATGACAACGACTGGTAACCCGTGAGAAATCATTGCAGGTGCTGGGGAGAAGGCGGCTGTTCAGGGAGCCCGCGTGCTGCTGGGGGATTGTACGGCGCGGAGAGACGCGGGCACAGCGAGACTCCGCACATGGAGTCTCTCCGCACGTGGAGAGACTCCGCACGTGGAGAGACTCCGCACGTGGAGAGGCTCCGCACGTGGAGAGACTCCGCACGTGGAGAGGCTCCGCACGTGGAGAGACTCCGCACGTGGAGAGGCTTCGCACGTGGAGAGACTCCGCACGTGTAGAGACTCCGCACGTGGAGAGACTCCGCACGTGGAGAGACTCCGCACGTGGAGAGACTCCGCACGTGTAGAGGTTCCGCACGTGTAGAGGCTCCGCACGTGGAGAGACTCCGCACGTGGAGTCTCTCCGCACGTGTAGAGACTCCGCACGTGTAGAGGCTCCGCACGTGGAGAGGCTCCGCACGTAGAGAGGCTCCGCACGTGTAGAGACTCCGCACGTGGAGAGGCTCCTTACGTGGAGAGGCTCCGCACGTGGAGAGGCTCCGCACGTGGAGAGGCTCCGCACGTGGAGAGGCTCCTTACGTGTAGAGGCTCCGCACGTGGAGGCTCCGCACGTGGAGAGGCTCCGCACGTGGAGTCTCTCCGCACGTGGAGAGGCTCCGCACGTGTAGAGACTCCGCACGTGTAGAGGCTCCTTACGTGGAGAGGCTCCGCACGTGGAGAGGCTCCGCACGTGGAGAGACTCCGCACGTGTAGAGACTCCGCACATGGAGAGACTCCGCACGTGGTGAGGCTCCGCACGTGGAGAGGCTCCGCACGTGTAGAGACTCCGCACGTGGAGTCTCTCCGCACGTGGAGAGGCTCCGCACATGGAGAGGCTCCGCACGTGGAGAGACTCCGCACGTGTAGAGACTCCGCACGTGGAGTCTCTCCGCACGTGTAGAGACTCCGCACGTGTAGAGGCTCCGCACGTGGAGAGACTCCGCACGTGGAGTCTCTCCGCACGTGTAGAGACTCCGCACGTGTAGAGGCTCCGCACGTGGAGAGACTCCGCACGTGGAGTCTCTCCGCACGTGTAGAGACTCCGCACGTGTAGAGGCTCCGCACGTGGAGAGACGCGCGCGTGATAACTGGCATTGACGTGAAGCGTGACACTCTTTAAGTACAGTGCTCTATTTGAACGCAAACATTGCCGACACTTTACACACGCGGGCAACTGGTGTTGACGAGCTGTGTTGTGAGTTTGTCGCAGCGCTCGCTTTCGGGATGTTATAGTTTCAGTAAAAACACAACGAGCAGAAGTGTTCACAATAAGCGATCCAGTCACCCGGTCAGCAGCGTAACAATTCCACGAGGCCGTCAGCGCCACCGCCCCCGCCGCGGCGGCAGCAGCAGCAGCAGCGTCACGAACCCGCTGATTGCCACCCTGGCGGCGTCGGACCTGGCGGTGGCACCGCGAGCTGCCCCGAGCTGCCGTGGGCCACTTCGCGTGGCACCGCCGCCTGCTGCGTGGCGACACGCGCTGCTCGCCATTGCCGTGCGCACACACACAGCGTGCACACACACACACCGTACACACACACAGGGTGCACACACACACACCGTACACACACACACCGTACATACACACCGTACACACACACACACCGTACACACACGCACAGCGCGCACACACACACCGTACACACACACCGTACACACACACACACACTGCGTGCACACACACCGTGCACACACGCACCGTGCACACACACACACACCGTACACCCACGCACAGCGCGCACACACACACCGTACACACACACCGTACACACACACACACAGCGTGCACACACACACCGTACACACACACCGTGCACACACACACACCGTGCACACACACACACCGTACACACACACCGTACACACACACACACACAGCGTGCACACACACCGTGCACACACACACACCGTACACACACACCGTACACACACACCGTACACACACACAGCGTACACACACACCGTGCACACACCGCACACACACACCGTACACACACACCGTACACACACACACAGCGTGCACACACACACCGTACACACACACCGTGCACACACACACACCGTACACACACACCGTACACACACACAGCGTGCACACACACACCGTGCACACACACCGTACACACACACCGTACACACACACAGCGTACACACACACCGTGCACACACACACACCGCACACACACACCGTACACACACACCGTACACACACACACAGCGTGCACACACACCGTACACACACACCGTGCACACACACACACCGTACACACACACCGTACACACACACAGCGTGCACACACACACCGTGCACACACACACACACACCGTGCACACACACGCCGTGCACACACACAGCGTGCACACACACAGCGCTACACGCCTCCAGCATCGCTCCTCACCATGGTCATCACATCGCTCATCATATCTCTCCTAATCATCACATCCCTCCTCATCATTATCACATCGCTCATCATCATCATATCGCTCCTCGTGACATCGTTCATCACACAGCCGGGGAGGGCACGCGCTTGCCCACAGCGTGGATCCCATCATGTGATACATCATAGCGCTCATCGCACTCCACATCACACGCATCCCCACATCTATCATCGCACATTGCGTACAGCGCGCAACACGCACACACACATCCCATCACACACACCGCGCATCCCATCACACACACACATCCCATCACACACACACACAATCACACATCCCATCACGCACACACATCCCATCACACACACACATCCCATCACACACACACACAATCACACATCCCATCACACACACACATCCCATCACACACACACACAATCACACATCCCATCACACACACACATCCCATCACACACACCGCACATCAGACATCCCATCACACAACACACAGCTCACATCACACCAACAATTACACTCCACGGATGTATGTTGAACTGATTTCGCGCCGTATGTGGCCACGTATGATGTACGGTAGCTACGACGGTGCGAAATAAGTTCAACATACGACCGTGCTAATCGTCTGGGCGGGGAACGACAACAACATTGCATGACAGCACACATCACACACCACACAGAGTACACATGACACACGCGACGCATGACACACACCACAGACACATCACAGACACACCACAGACACACATCACACACCACACAGATAACACACACGCACTTCACACGCACTTCACACGTCACATCACATACGCCACGCATGACACACATCACAGACACACATCACAGACACACACCACAGACACACATCACAGACACACATCACAGACACACTCATCCCCCGTGCCTTAGGTCACGCGGCGCAGCTCGCTCCGGTCAGAGGAAGCCCACGACGAAGTCGTCCCCGTCAATGTGGTGGTGGTTGTTGTTGTTGTTCACTCCGGCTCGCCTCGCCGTTGCTCAACCCAGCAGAGGTGTTCGCTTCACTTCGCCTCCAATGTCCCTTCTCAAAGTCTCCCCTTGGCCGCTGCTGACTGATTTAAGGCTAAGTCGACCCTGGGGGAGGCCCAAGACCGGTCCAGGTGTTCGCCACTGTTATCGGTCGTGAGCGAGACTGGAACCCCAGTGCGCTAACCACTACGCCACCGCTCTCCACACCACAACCACCACCCCATGGCTCCCGTGCAGGTTGCTACACGTCACACGCGTTGCTGATTCTACCGTGCCGTGTCCCTGCAGGTAAATTGTCATCGTCTTCCCCCTCAAGCCACGTGTGAACAAGAAGGTTGCCTGCGTCCTCATTGCAATCATCTGGAGTGTGTCTCGGGATGAGACGAGGAGCCAGTGGAGATATTGGCGGATTGGAGGTGATGTGGTCTCCATTACCGGAGCGAGTGAGATGCCGAGTTTAAATCATGCGGTGTCTCGCGTACTTTATAAACCACTATTTGTTGAGTTGTGTGCTGGCTCATGTGAGTGCACAGAGAGGTTGACGTCACACATCGTCACAAATATCTGCCCCCCCCCCCCTAGGTGCGTGACGTCATTTATGGACGGCCCCTGAACCACAACACTGTCTTTCCGACAGACCTGTTCTTCACCTGAGGACGGCTGCTTGCGTTGTGGCCGAAACGTCGTGAGAATTGTATTTTATTATGTTTTATTATTTTATTATTTCCCTGCTACGTGACTTTACCGAAAGAACCAAGAAGATATCAGAGCATGTTTATTTAATGTTCACCACAAGTACATGTGGTTAATGCAGACATGATTCCTTGCAAAAGGTGTAAGCTTGGTGTTTTAACATCTCAACACAACTGTTTTATTGCCAGAAAGGGTAAACCCCTACTAGTATTATTATTTGTATTTCACGATGTCTGCGGCACGCGGGCTGTGCTGGCGCCACGTGCGGCGGCGCTGGGCTTTAACCGTGACGTCACGCCCACGGCGCGCCAGCCAATCCGCGCGCGGGACGCGACCGCCACCCAGCATCTCTGCCGCCACCGGAAGTCGCCTTCCGTCTGTTTTATTTCCTCTGCCGGAAGAGGAAGATCGAGATCGATCTACCGCCACCGGAAGAGGCGCGCGAGGCGGGCGTTGGCACCGCGTGAAGATCGCTCCGGGGAGCAATAAAACGCGGAGGTCTCTTCCGGAAGACGGAGACGTCACTCGGGGAACTTCCCCGTCCGTGTTTACGAGCGATGGAGTCGGGGTGACGATGACGGGCTTCACGGCGTCGTTCACGGGTGACGTTCACGGGCTTCACGGCGGCGTTGAGGGGCGAGCGAGGCGAGGCAAGCAGGTCATGGTCACGGGTCTAGGTGACGCGTGACATATTCGTGACACGGGTGGCTGTCGCGCAGTTTAAAGGGCTGGGGCGTGCGTTCAATGTTGACATGCAGCACTCAACATAGTCGAGTGTGTACACACACACTGCGTACACACACACAGTGTACACACACATTGTGTACACACACACAGTGTACACTCACGTGTACACACACATTGTGTACACACACACTGTGTACACTCACGTGTACACACACACTGTACACACACACTCACGTGTACACACACACTGTACACACACACTCACGTGTACACACACACTGTACACACACACTCACGTGTATACACACATAGTGTGTACACACTCACGTGTACACACTCACGTGTATACACACATAGTGTGTACACACTCACGTGTACACACTCACGTGTACACACACATAGTGTGTACACACTCACGTGTACACACTCACGTGTACACACACACAGTGTGTGTACACACTCACGTGTACACACTCACGTGTACACACACACACTGTACACACACACTCACGTGTACACACACACTGTACACACACACTCACGTGTACACACACACTGTACACACACACTCACGTGTACACACACACACTGTGTACACACACACACTGCGTACACACTCACGTGTACACACGAGTGTGTACACACTCACGTGTACACACTCACGTGTACACACACACACACACCCTGCGTACAGGTCCGTGCTGGGATCCTAACACATGTGTAACATGCAGACTAGTCTGACGCTCACATGCGTGTGGAGTTGGTGAGGGGAGTAGTGGCGCTCTGGTTAGCGCAGTGCGCTACGATTACTGACCACGGCTAACGTCAGTGGCGCGTGGCATCTGAACAGATCCGAGCCCTCTGCGAACCCTCCCTTGAGTCCACACTCAGCGTGTGGTGATGAGTTGTCAGATAGCCCCCATGACCCCGGTGCAAGTGCAGGTGCCACCTATTTAAGTGCAAAACATTTCACGGCGTGAACTTGCAAGTGGTGGACGTGTTCCGCTTTTTCACAGAAATGCATCGGCAATATTACAATTTACCCTGACAGAGATACCAACCAAAACTCTTCGTAACGTTACGAAAATATTTGGTCGCCGTGCGTAGCTTGTGTTTGTATCTCTCTAATCGAGTAGTGAACACTTTATTGAGACGTGTTAGAGAACAAATGTCACGTGGTACGTCTGCAATGTTTCGAGACAACAAATTGGCGGAAGCTCTAAAACTCTGTCGAGATGAGACAGAGTTTTCGAGAAATGGCAAGTTGTTCCAGTTGCCATCATAAAAACACAATGTGTTTTGTATTCCCGGTCTATCATTCCATAGAAAACAACTGTCACACTGCATGGGACGGCCCTTATCCAGCAGTGGTTTGTGCAATGTATGGTGCGCACCAGTTGAAACCTATTTTGGACATAGAATGGCGTGAGGTCTATATTTAACTGAAGCATGTGTTCCCTTTTCTACAGAAAGTTCCCAATGAATGCAGAAGAAAGATTACAATGGAATCTGGAAGAGATATTAACGATAACATTCAGCTGCAAGGAGAACTTTTGGGTTTTACGAAGGTACATCTGGCGGAGGTGCACAGATTGTTTGTACCTGTGTAATCGAGTAGTGAAATCTCTATTGAGATGTGTTGGAGAATTAAATATCATGTTTTTACAGCTGCAATATTTTAATTCAGCTGATGAAAATCTTCAGAAGTTCCAAAAATCTGTATACAAACATCAGATTCTGAATGCTAAAGCTTTACAGTTGCACAGCATCATCAAAAAAACGAAAACAGTCTCTAGTGATGCTCATATATCCCAGGGCGCCACGGTGACGAGATGTTAACTACCTCGCCTGGTATACTGAAGGTTGTGGGTTCAATTCAGACCCTGACGCCTGTATATTTGGAGTTTCCATGTTCTCCCCGTGGGCGCGTGGATTTTTCTCCTGGTCCTCCGGTTTTTCCCTCCACATTTAGAAACATGCACTGAGAGTATTTGGCTGCGATAAATGTCGACACAATAAGCCACTTTGTTGAGCTCATCATTTGTGGCCAGGCCGCTTCTGAAAAAGAGCTGTAAAGCAGCTCAATTCGCCTTACCCGGTTAAGTAAAAAAAATTGTTTAGTAGAAGCTAACCAGGGTTGAGCATGGATATAGTGTAGAACGGTTGTTATAGACTGCAGCAGGGACTGTACGTGGTGGATAGCAGTGTGAAAAAATCCATTGGTGTAGTGTATATTTCTCTGCTCCCGCATCTATGCTCCATGCTTTCACTTGACCAGTGCGGTGGGGAATTGTAGAACAACACCCACGACCTGCACGGTGTGGGGTGGCCCTTATCCACCAGTGGATTGGCAAATGGGGCTGCTCATGTACAATGCTGGGTGTGCACGAAAGACTTGCAACACCCTTTCGGAGATGAATGATGCCATATATCACTGGAGCATGTGTTCCCCTTTCTTCAGAAAAGACCGGATAAAGGCAGCAGAAACTTTCAAATGAAATCTGGAAGAGATGTGAACGATAACATTCAGCTGCAAGAAGAACATTTGGATTTTATGAAGGTATTTGGTGGACGTGTTCGATAATACAATGTCAAGTGGTACAGCTGCAATGTTTTTATACAAACAATTAAAATGTTCAGGATCTCCAATCATGAATACACATTAGAAAACCTTTCAGATACTGAATATCAAGGCTTTTAATATGCACAGCATCATCATAATAAACATAGTTTGTACGATGCCTTCATTAATGAATAAATAAGGATGCTCATGATGCAATACCATAATTAAGGATGGATGTTAAAATCCTATGTATGTTGTTTGTGATGGTTCACGTGACCCCTCGTGCCACGAGAGGCTGCGATATTCACGGTGTTTAAAAAAATCGATTCTCGAATTTTCTGAATCTCGAGAAAGGGAGAATCGTGCCGCCCCTATGCTCCGAGCTGGGGTCAAGCTCAACATGAGCACCGCACCACTGTCTGCACATCTCCTTCGACCTAACTCATCAGATACAGATGCGGTTCAACCACTTTTGTGTGTGATCCATTGATGTCTGAATCCTGATAACTCCTTACGGCATTGTGGGATGCTGTGGACATGAACGACGCTGTATAAAATACAGCGTCGTTCATTATTATGAACTCTACACCATGATCTGTCTACTGCTGATGAAAGTCTGCCAAAGTCATTAGCGTCGCTCACAGTTGTACAATGCGACAATGGAGCTCTTACACGAACTGATCTCGTCACTCCATCTGTACGGTGGACGTACTCTCAGGGGTGTCGGCCACCAGTTCTTAATTAAAACGTTATTTTTGTCTTTTTTACTGCAGGTATTGCCTGAGGAGTTGATCCTGAAGATATTGGTGTGCTTGGATCCACAGAGCATTTGCCAGTCTATGCAAGTGTGCCTTTCCTGGAAGGACTTCATCAGTGAGGCTGAACCTCTGTGGAAAAGCGTCCTGTGTACACATTACATGAGGGAGAAGAGGGCAGTGACGGGAGCTCCAGGGACCTACAGGGTATGCGAGACCTGATCTAACCAGAATCACGGTCTTGAAAGTTGCTGCGCTGTGACATTAATATTGACCTTCAGTTTTACCTGTAATTTTACTTTATCGGGCAAAGAATAGTGATGTCATCATTCATTTAATACAAATGTGGGCGAGCTGGCATACAGTGATTGCCGCATACAGATAATTGCGAGGCAAGATTGCAGAATAATTTTTAAAAGATGAATATTTTTAAATATATTGTTAACGGTACACGGTGATGCATACCTTTGTTGAAATGTGCTGATTTATTGACTGAAACGGGGTTTTTATCGTCTCCGTGCACCTCTGTTTCCAAAGCGCTTGGATACATTTACTGGTTATCATGATAAACGTATCTCGGTCTTTCCACCGCTAACCATTCCACGCCGTTATGGTTTGTGCTTTCCTCTGCTTTAGGATCTTGTGAAAAAGTACGGACGTTGGTTCAATGGACACAACAGCCACTTGTGCTCAGCTGAAGAGGCCCAAAATATCATGTGTCCCATGGGTGTAAATGAGTGGGGAATGATTTTTGAGAGAGAACTTGGGAGAATTACTGCAAACATCCCTTTCTAATTGCTACTTTTATGAGACAACAGCTTTGAAATATGCAATTGTCATACACTACACTTCGGATTTATGCAGCCTCTACAATCTCCCACAGCTCAATTTGCATTGTGAAATGCAATATGTGCACATCGACTTAATTATATATTGTTTTATGATCCTTTAGGATGAAGGGAGTGAGGTGTGTAATGCTACAGAGCAGAGGGAAAGGAGAGCAGATTATGGTAGAGGTTTGATTGAACATATTCCAGAGACATTCAGGTCTATACTTGCATGTACAAAGTCATTTATGGTGTCAATGCTCGCAAGACGATGCAGTGTAATGCACAACGGGATGATAGAGTGCGTGATTTACCTTGCACAGGTATTTTCAAGTCTCTTCAAATGGCAACATAAAACAGTCAAATTGGTTTTCTGATCAGTCACTGGGCATTAGTCATCTCTTCTTTACAGCCCTGAGCTGATGGTGTAAATTCCCCATTCCAACCACTCTTGCTTCTCACAGTGACACTAAGCACAGCATAACCCAGCAGAATTAAAAGTGTATTTTTTTATAAAGAGCATTACACAAGTAGACAGTGCGTGGTGGTATCGGCACTTTGGAGGCGAGGATTGGTAGGGCAGATGGGTTGTGAAATGGCCAAACCTGATGGGCTGACCTCTCGTGTAGTGCCTGGCTGCTCTACAGGATTGCTTCCACGTCAAACAAATTGGTCAAACATGCCGAATCGCGGTCATTCTGAATAGAGTCCACGGCTCGTTGAGGTTTTCCTGCATAAAATAAATAGAATGACTTATTGTTACGGGAATAGACTTAGCGATCCACTCAGAATGTCGTCCATATTCAGGAACTACGTAAAAGCAGAGGCTAGGCAATTTGCTTCGCAGTCATCATTGACAGACACTGATTTACCACTACAACTCAATTGATTTATATGCTATGAAAGGTGAAACATACATTTGGATACTTTATGGCTATTGATCTCCTTCCTGCGCTAATGAATGGGTTTACTGGAGTAGATACCTGCTCATACAGCCATTTTAATGATGAAGGTGGTTGACATTTTACCAATACTTTTTTTAAAATCAACTTTGCACTTACTGTTTGGGTCATAATATATGTTTAACTTTTATTTTTGTATTTATTACAGCAACACTTTTGAGACTCCCTGCAATGCTGTTATCAGAGTCCTTGTCATGTGCTACTTATGCTGTGTGTATGTATATTGAACTTCTTTCACATCACACTGAGTAGAAGGATGCACTTATTTTATCTCTTCATGTTCTAGACACGGTGAGGGAAGCATCTATTTCAATAGGCATTGGTAATTATTTTGTTGGGTTTTTTTACATACGACGATATGCAAAACTCGCCTAAATTCACCGATGGCTTGTAAAGAATAACTTTAATTGGCTGGTTAATTTGATCGAGGGCATGTGATTTAAAAGGGATTGTGTCAATTAATGCCACTCAATTGTACTTGACAGCCAACCGTGGGATGAACGCAAGTAGAAACGTCCCATAGATGTGCATTCATAAGTCCTGCAGCTCCTACAGCAACCCACACAAGGACACCATTTCAACGGGTTAATTTACTTGCTCCAAATTATTACAACCAAACACAAGCACTTGTGTGTGATTAAACATGTAGTACATTGATAACTTTATTCTGTTTTGTAAGAAGATCTGGAATAAAAATGTCCATGCTGTGTGTAATTATGTAAAGCTTCTCATGCATATCGAGAATGGACAGTCCACTCGTGCTCATGGTTGGATATATATTTTTAAATAAATTATATTTTATTGGTCAAACTCTGGAGCATCCAGGGTTTGTTAAGGTATGTTTAAAGTACAAAACTGATTTTCGAGATTTTGGTGTGGACAAACATGAACACTGAAAAGGAACCCTGAAGCTATAATCTATTATATGAGGGAGCACTTGCTATCTTGGCACTGCGACCAAGATACAGGCCGCAATTTGGGAGGCCATCGTATTTACAATTTGCTCCATTATGGGTTGCAGCCGTGGTGTGATGATAGTGGAACGTGTTCAGTTGAGAATCGAATCGCATTCAAAGAGGAGTGTTGAGAGAAATGCGCAGGTTTGGGTCGGGCGCATGTTTGACGAATACACATTGCTTATCAAATTAATTAATTGATCCATTAATACTCGATTTCTGAACGGCTCCTTAAATTAAACTTACCGGCCGATGCCCTCTATGGCTCCATCATGTGCTGCAAAAGCAGGGGGACTGCTGTGGCGATGAACACGTTGAAGGCACGGAATAGCGCAGGGCTCCGGTTTGTATCTGTGGGGAGACATTAGGCAGACACTCGGGCACTGATGGATGTTTGACTTGAGCTGCGAAAAACCCGACGAGCCATGAAGATCAATCTGACAGCTGTCCAGCCCAAGCTGACGTGGTGGAACATTGGAGAGGAAGAAGTTAAGTGGTCAGGTAAAACACACGTCTTCAGAACCCAAACGTGCTACTCTGATAAGTCGTGTGGTGTTTTTACCCAAGAGAGCTCTACTAAGACCTTTTCGAGATAAATTTCACACATTGCCTGTTTGCATTAAATACTTAAAGTTTTTGCTTTCATAGTGGATATAATTTTCAGTTACGTGCAACGGTGTTGCCATCGTTTACATTATATATTCTATGCCATTGTGTACTTCATGCACATTTCACATGGATCGTTTATGGAAGTGTACGCAATGTTTTTTGCCTTGAGTGCATTTTGTATCGGGGCCGTGGTAACTCTGCACGTGGCTGGAATCCGGCGCCGTGGAGGCAGCGGGGGTTGATGAATCACAACAAATGTCGTGAAACTTCCTTCCCGTGGACATTGAGGTGTCATGCCCTGGCTTGCCAGGAGATGGCAGAACAGCAAAAATGTGGATTCTACCTGCTCCGTCTGCAGTGGAAAGAGTCCATAATATAGGTTTTTGTTTGGGTTAGATCGCGTAAAATTATAAATGTGTCGTTAAAACCCGCCACCACCCGACACAGCCAACTAGTAAGGGTTGTCACGTAAACAGAACGTGCCAATTCGGCACTAATACAGCACACCGGTGTGTTGGAGAGCCAAGCCACAACATTTACAATCTGAGTACGACGTTTCGCCAGTAATTACAACTAGCTTCATCAGGCGACAGCCAGATTTGTGGAGAAGTCTAACTGTTGCGTTCCTTATATAGAGGCGTAGATGTGGTGACCACGCTTCTGCGCTCTTTCCCTAAGTTGTGTAATACAAGATTCCTCTTGCGATGTTCACACCACTCCATTTCGATGTTTGTTAAACTGCAAGTGGGAAGACATCGATGTGCAGAGAGAACATCCACACCGATGAGAGGAGGCAGAGGTTTCAGAGAAGAACGCGCGATTACAAGGGGACACAGCAAGTGGCATGAGACGCGCTTTGCTCAGTAAAAAGATGCACGCATGGCAAATATGTACCGCTCCATCGCCAGGCCGAGAACAACCCCGCGAATGAGAGGTGGGGAGCTCTCAAATGCTTGAGACAATCTCTAACTGATCGCAGTGGTGCTCCTTCTTAAGCTGGGGTGCACGCTGTACCCCCTGGGGTGCGAGACGTGCCAGATTTGTTTTAGAAGGTAAATTACACTGGTCAAAAAAAAAAAACATTTTTTTCTGGCCTGGACTTTTGCAACTGTTTAAGATTAATTTCAGGGTGCTGATTCCAAATCTGATCTCAGATTTGCTCTATCACATCTCATTTTTATGCTATCGGCATACCCCATTTTTATTGATTTTTACCCGAAATTAACTGTCACTTATGATTGCAAGTTGTTGCGAGTCAGTGACTGCTTTAGTGTTCAAATATGGTGCTGTATTTTTAGGATAGTGTGTTTATAATATAATTTTATGTAGATATCCGCATTTATTTAATATTTTTCTTATGCAGTTTTTATTGAAAATGCAATATTTGATATCTCAAAAACCTGATGTGATAGACAAAAACTGATGCCAGATTTGGAATCCGCACCCCAAAATTACCTAAACAAACCGTTGGAATACCTTATGCCAGAAAAAGCGTGTTGACCAGTATAAATCGAAACACAAATTAAGCACGGTCACATAAGTACAACTAAATTGTTTCATCAAAACGATGTGTTTATTAACATTTACACTTTTGCCGGTTAAGAACCAAAGCAGTGCAAGGCTGCAGTAAAGTTGTTGTGCTCATGGTCGACAGGACCGTCAATCTTGTCGTTAGAGTGGTGGTGATGGTGGTGGTGCTAGATGGTGGTGGTAGCGGTTGTTGTACCTGGATGCACTGTGACGGTGATGGTCGCCGTGCCGAAGCCCACCGAGTTGCCGGCCCGGCAGGAGAAGCGGCCACTATCAGCCGCGGTTAGCGGTGGCCCCACGTGGAGAACTTTACCCTTCTGTGCATCGAGCATTGCATCATTCCTTCAGCAAACGCAGCGCAGATCACGCCGAGGGGTCTTTAAGACGAACGCGTCGGCACAACCGCAGTCAATCGAATCGAAAGTCAGGTCTCGGGCGTTAGATTGAGAGAAAGCCTTACTTGCTCCACGTGTATTCTGTAACCGCTGGGTTGGCATCAGCTGCACAGGTCAGGGTTCCTTCTTTGCCCACAAACCAATCATCCTGGTAGCCAGTGATCGTCACCTTTGGTTGATCTACGGAGAAAGCGACACATTCACGACGTTGTCAATCAACTGAAACGTTGTGGATTCGAATCTTCGGTTTTAATCTGCGACCCCGGGCCGCACGGTGAACATGGAGACGGCAGCAGTGGTTTTCTCAAGGAGACCAAGCTCACAGTCTCGTGCAGTATTATCTGCTGCTCAGGTTGAACATTTACGGTGAGGATTACTGTGACAACAAATTATGATTTTACATTTTAACGTTCAATTCCAATCACGACCATAATAACATTTTTAAAGGTATAGGTGGCATCGCTGGGGCACGTTTACGGTGGTGAGGATGCAGCAGCACAAGGTGTGTGAACACGAGGTCGAAGGTTAGGCTGTGTGCCATCGGTAGGTTCGTTTGTCATGCGATGTTTACGGCTTAATTTTGCACCTTGGTAGAAATTTGCAGCCTTTAGTCAATCCACTGCTGGATGATGGCCTCGCCACGGCATATCCACTATAGCCACAGTTGCTGCGATAGTCGTTGTTGGTTTGCTGACAGGTCAGATGGAACGCTGTTTCGGGGGAATTATATTGGCACACCACATCTATCTCGCCAATAGTGCAGTAGTCATCACATTGTTGGAAATTAGGGTGCAAGGATAATTATTGTACTCTATGCCAATAACCTTTATTTCAAGCCAGCCTAGCAGCGTTCTGGAAAATAACGGAGAAAATATAAACCCCCCAGGACATCACTCACATTGTCAGCCGTGGCTGGGAATCACAACCTGGTCCCCCGTGTTCGCTGCGGGGTGCACTGACCCCTGCAGAACCACCGTTCTACCTCCCTTACTATGTCGCTGTGCACTTGTTGAGATGAGACTGGCAAGCGATGTTTTGGAAAGGCTTCCCATTGGCTTACAGTGAATGTTAAGGGTGATGGTCATCTCCACGTCGGCTGCCATGGCAGGGTGCCGCACCCTGCAGGTGAGGTTCCTCCCGTGATTCTCGTATGTGGGCACCATCCAGTACTCGCTCTTTAGGGTCTCTGTGTTGTTGGGGTTGACCTCGAAGAGCTGGGAGACGCGCCCTACGTTCGGATGCTCTGACCAAGTGACGAGGCCTGCGGGTTTCCCGCTCCAGGCCACGCACGTGGCCACCGCCATCTCCGCCGCGCCGCCATCCACGAGGTCAGTGCTGCTCATCTCGAGGGTGGCTTTCGGTGAAACTGAGAAACACAGAGGGGGAAGGGGGTGGGGTGATACCGTGGATGTCTGCGCCACGTCAAGTACAGGAGCGATATTTATTTACTTATCCAGGAAAGCCTCACTGAGTCTCAAGACTCGTTTCAAGAGGGTGCTGCTGCATTGGGGGGATATTTGCCCAATTCCATGTCAGGAGTGCTTGGAATGTGGAAGAAAACCGAAGCGCCCGGAGAAAACCCTCGAATGTGCAGGGAATGACATCAAATGTCCATACGGACCGGTTCGCAAACCCACTTGCTGTACTGTAATCATCTGCCCACTTTTGAGTATGCAAATCTCCCCACACCGCCAGAACGTACAAAGCACAATTCCGTTGGCTCTGAGAAGTTGAGCAGGGGGCAGGGGGCACAGTCAGCAGGGGGCAGGGGGCACGGTCAGCAGGGGGCAGGGGGCACGGTCAGCAGGGGGCACCGCGACGCGTGGCCGTGCCGAGCGCAGCGGCCTGGCGCTGAGATCTGTGCAGTCGCCGCTGTGTAGAAGAACTCCACGTTGCATTTATCACTTTTCTATTTAAAATGAAAAGCAATGAATGAAATCCCGTACTGTACTTGGACTCGACACTTGCAGGAGCATGCTGCACAATCACCTGGCCGTTGAGCATCCCGCAGAGATGGAAGCGTCTCGCTCTATTCTACATCCTTCAGCAAGCCTCGCCTCCAAGATGCCCAATCACAGCCGGCCAAACAGAGTTGACGACGCGGTGGTCCAGAATGGACAGAATTGCACCTCCTGCCTCTCACATTACTCCAAGACACTGGTGGAACCAACAACTTCGTCAGAACATCAGCAGGCCGATGCAAACGCAAGTGGAAAATTAAAGAAACAAGCCACAGTCGTGTGATTGTGGCCATGCATCCCAAACTCTGGACCGTATAGCTAAACCCATAGAGACACCTTGAGAGACCGTACATGGAGACTCATAGGGATACATGGAGACTCATCGGGATACATAGAGTCCCACGGGAATACGTGCAAGGCGACACAGTGGTACGTGCGCCTGTGGCCATGCAGCTCCAAACTAAGGACCGCAGAGTAAGCCCACTGTAGTCCCTCAACGGAGACGGAACATCAACTCGACACGATCTCTCTCTCTCTTGAAGCCCTCTCCGCCGTGGCCAGCAGCTGACCTCGACATTTGGCATCGAGCCCTGCGCGTCTTCATGCTGCTGCTGCTGCTGCATTCGTGCGCGAGAAAAGCGAAGGGTGGAGGCCGTCAACCCGCGCTGGGAGGGGAAGTTCCCACGGCTCGCGTCGAGGTGCGTGCCACCCACTGTAGAGTTCGAGGGTGAAGGATATTTGCCGAGCGTCCAGGGCGCTGATGAAGCAGAAGAAGTCTCCGTCGTCCTGCAGTTCCAGGTTTTTTATGGTGATGGAGGCGTCTTTAAGTTCGGGGTCCATGTTGGTGAACTCGAGACGCCGGGAGTAGCTGCCGTGGAAGTCGGTGGAGTTGAGTCCGCGTCTGTTCCTGTAGGCAATCTGCACGCGGTCCGCGTACTCTGATTTGAACCAGATGATGCTGTCTGGCGACTCGGAGCCTGGGTAGAGGCAGCGCAGGGTGACGGATCCGCCCAGTTGCCCTTTCACGTTGACCTGCCCGGCCTCGGCCACAGACAGGAGGATTCCTGAGCGTGGCAAGGCGGAGGAGGGTGGCACACAGAGGGAGGGAGACGACATAGGACACGGGAGAGAGAAGTAGCGAAGGGAAATGCACGGAGAGAATTGAGACGTCATAATCGGCATCGGCCATGGTCAATCTACTGCTGGATGAAGGCCTCGTGAATCCGTCTTTACCATCGCGATCACTGTTCTGACACGCTACTCTCTACCGAGCACCTGGAGACGAGCTGCTTTAATCGTGAAGTGTTTTCCAAAAAAACTATATTGGAGAAATAAACGCAGACCGTAATTATAAACGTATAACATGTTGACCGTTTCAGATTTGTCAATGGTGAAGTAATGATAACCAAAGGAAATACATTACAGGGAATTGTAATGTTTGGTGTGAACAGCGAATGCAATGTATTCAAACTCCAAGTTCCCCTATTGACTGAACAACGTGAATTCAGAATGTGTCCAGACGTGAACATTCTTACCGTGAATGAAGAGTAGCAGCAGTTGCCCACCATTCGTACCCAGACGCATCATCTTCACCTCGGCCAAAATGTCTCCTTAGCGAACACCCTTCTCGTGTGTAAACGACCAGATTATTGCCCTTGGACTTTAAACTTTATATGTGTCAGTCAAGCACGCAAGTGAAGAACTGAGAATTTGCCTCGAGCTCAAAAGGGCGAACTTCCTTGCGGGTGATTCACAAGGGAGGGGAGGGAGGGGAGGGATGGAGGGGAGGGGGATGGAGGGGAGGGGCCCCAATCGGCCCGCGGGGTCCACGGCCGCAGGGACCCGAGTCGACCCCCTGTCGATCAGCAGGCCACACTTGACGGTGATGATGCAGGATTTACAAATCTGCCATTGACGCAAAAAAAATTCAGCGCAAACATGAGTGCAGACCGGAACACAGATCCACAACACTCACAGATGTACAGCATTGCATGTACACCCCCCCCCCCCGCCAGCCTTATCCAGACCACCAACTCGAAAGAACTGAATGTATAGCTATTTTGCTTCCAGAGGAAAATGGTAGACGCGAACCTTGATGTCTGTATTGGACCGATGAGTCCTAACGAGGACGGGACTGCTGCCTGTTGTGGGACGGCCACACTTTCTCAACTGTATCAGTCGGTGGTCCACTTGAAAAACTGTCCACACGTCCAGTTGTCTCGAGCTGGTGGTCTGAATAAGGCTCAGAGCGTTTGTTCACGCAATGCTGTAACCTCCTCGTGTGTGTTGTTAAATCTATATGGGATCGAGTGCAGCGATGTAGGGGTTATGACGATGTTAATGCGATATCCATGCTCTTACCCAATATACCACACTTTGGACTCCGCTATGCGGTAAAGATGGAACTTTATTGAAATGGGAGCGTGGGCTCTAAACACTCACACCCTCCCCCACCTCTGTCCACACAGCAGTGTGCATGGATACACCGACCCTGACGCCTGCCGTATATTTAGAGATTGCGTGGATTTCTCTCTCTCTCCGTGGTCGAGTGGATTTTTCTCTGGGTCCTTTTGTTTTTCCTTCCACATTTAGAATCATGCGTTTAGATCATTTGGTTGCGATACATTTCCTCGCGATAAACCACTTCGTTGAGCTGTCTGTTGTGGACAAGCCGCTTCTGAAAAAGATCTGCATAGCTCATTGAGATGTTCCTGCTAAAATGAAAGTGTTGGTAGTTTGGTGGGGTAAAGGGTGTGTACTGCTCTTCCAAGATGCCTGACCAGCGTGGATGAGTAGGCCAAATACCCACGAGAAGGGCTCTCTCGAACTCCCTCTCGCGCAGGTCAATTAAGCAGCAGCGGTGTAAGGGAGTAATTGCAGGGCTGCGAATTTCCATTTTATAGGAAGCCATTGGAGCGATGCACTTTTAAATCTAAATTGAAAACAAATGTCTTTATAACCGATTTTTGTATTTATTTTGTCCTTCGCCCACACATCCGACTAGCACGGTTGGCTCCGTATGGTGCGAATGAAGTTCAACATACGATACATGCATCTTGCATACATATAGATTGCTCTATTGGGTACCCCGGGACATTAAGACACGCGGTCTCGCCTTAACTCGCGTGCCTTGTAGTGGCTCAAGGAATTCAAGCCCATGGAAATTACCATCGTCTCATTGGTGACATTGTGTATGGCAGCGACACGTTGTGGCCAGCAGACCTCGACATTGGCATGGAGCCCTTGAACACGTCACTGCCATACACAAGAATAGAATGTGTTGCTGTGTTGACTTCACCTGTACAGGTTGCCGTCTCTAAAATAAAACAACACGTCCATTGAACTTCAATAAGGGAACCAGCCTCACTATCTTTGAAATGCCTCTACAATTCTGACTCAAACGTACGGGTTACTTCAGTGGGACCGATCTCCTCCCCACAGCCCAACACCACACCCATCGCTGATCATTGCCGATTAACAGAGTCGGCCGCAATCCCCACGCTTTCTCCCCAGCATCAGGAAATTTGGCAGAAACACCGAGATCTTTATTTCATCTCAATGATGGCACAATGGTATATTTTATTTACCCTACATCATTATGCAAATTGAGAGCGATGGAAACTCTACGTTCCAAAAGGAGCCAGAATATTTGCGTTGTGCGTGTCTCTCAGTTTGTCGTGTCTAACACAAGACCTCACCTTCAACGTCAAACATCGGATGTCCCAAATTGGTGACAACAGGTTAAAAAACTATAATAAACATCTTCGTAGTCGGATTTTTTGTACTTTTGCAAAGTCAAATGTTTTCATATTATCTGCCCCCCCTCCTCTCCCTGATGGGTCGTGTCTATCCAACTCCATAGCGGAGGTGTGAAATTACGGAACGTGCCAACTACGATCGTTGTTTGTAGTAGAAAGATCCCAACTGTGAAATAACAGGAAATGTCTAAACTTTGCAAGGTTTCCCCTGTTCGAACGACAAACTTGTTAACACACCCTGGATTGCATTCTTATTTTCTTCCAAGTCAGTATCTACACGAAAAACTTAAAATGTTTGAGCGTGTAAAGCGATTTATTGTCACAAGAGCATTTTCAAAAAAAGATGCATAATAAAGGCCAAACTGTTTCGTTTCCACTTTGTAGTGCATAGGAAGGATGTGTAGTCGAACACACTGTATAACACCATGCATATGCTTAATTCCCATACCCATTCTACTATTTCTACAAACACAACTATCATTTGTTTGAAAAAATAATTACTCTAAATCATATATCCATTATTTAGAAACCAAATTATAGATCACGCCAGCCATGATTAGCCAACATCGTATATTGTTCAACACAGTTATTTAAAAGAGGAAGTTAAAAGCAACGTTAACCAGCACGAATTTATAAGTGCTGCGTACAGGTGAGGGTCGCGAACGCGAGTGTACAAATAGCAATTAGGAATCGGATACGCAGCGCGCTGTTTTATCACCAAAATAAACATCACGGAGCACAATGAGCAGCATGAGGTCGCTTGCGCAGAGCCTGCGTGTGCCGGTTATAAGGGCACTCAGAGTTTGAGTGAAAGAGACGTTAAATATTGCCGCTAACAGCACTGCAAGTGAAATGATCACGGGGCGCGCAGTCTGTGGTGTGGTGGGTAGCATTCAGCGAATGAATAAACCCGCACTTACATCAAAACCACTCACGAAATAATATTTAACAGCAAATAATAAGCACATTTGCCGTAAGTTGATACATGTGTTTGTGATCTTGGATTTTTTGTTGTATGGTTGCATCAAGTTCAAAATAAATGTAAATTCTGCTTGTCACAACTCTCAGCATATTCCCTTCTCTGCCACGAAGCTTCAACTCGCACAGCACAAAGTGCACACGCACTTCGGTTAAAACCCAGAAAGTGGAGAATTTAATTCAGAATCCATAAGAACAATCACCAATACTAACTATACAGTATTACACAATTTTTTAATTTACAATTATTTTACACCTGTAAAAAGCACCATACCCCCCCCCTGGTGGTACAATGCCCCATTTTTTGACAAAAATCCACACTATATCCGTAACTTGTACCGTCTTTATTTCAGTAACTTATAAACAGAGAATTATTCTCCAGTGCCTCTTAAGAACAAAACATAAGGTCATGATATACTTTCTGTAGTGACGAGCGCTTTGGCTGTTTGTACAGTGTCTATGAGTGATTGGAGTGTTGGAATTTCCGATGCTTCAACACCAAGCTTCTCAATCTGCCATGAAAAAACACGCCGTGTGGGCAAAGGGAAGGAGAGAAAACATCATCAATATTTACTTTCTACAACACTTTTTGTACATATTAACATTTTATAAAACCCGTTGCCATACTTCTAACACAACTGCGTTCAGCATGAACGTTCAAACACAAAATCTGTTTGTCATTGTGAAATATAATCTTTACCGACGCGAAAAGTTCAGGTATACACAGGCAAACCCGTGTCAACCAAGACAACGGGGACACAGCTGTGGCTCCCGCACAATAGACCTGCCCCCCTCACGCCCCCCACTCCCCTGCAGAGAGAGGCGAGACTTGGACCGTGCTCTACAACCAAAGCCACCTTGTGATCTACAAATCTTAATTCTCTGCAGGCCTAAGTGGAATAGCTTGATTGCCCTGCACACACGTGTTCTGGTTCAATGGGATTATTCTATAACGGACAAAATGCTCTCCATCACGCTGTTATGCCGAGGGGCAGCTCTACGCATACATGTAGAGCACCACAACAGTAGATGTGTGTGCATCAAGTGCCCTTCACAATAAAAAATGCCTTGCGATGGCTCTGTCCACGGTTTCAACTTGTTTAAATTTCACAAATCACACACAATTTCCACACATTCACCGAGTTAAAAACAAGGCCCGCTGTTTGTCTGCGCTGTCTTAAGATGCGGTCACATTTACACGCTGTACAAATCCACACTGCACAAGCGCTGATGAGACTTTCTCTGCCGTTACCTGCTGACGGAAGGCCTGCGTATCCAGGTAGAGCTGTAATCGGATTTTGTCATCGTCCGTCAGCCCTGTGCCGCTTGCTGCTGCCGCCGCCGCTGTCGCCCCTGCCCCCGTTTTTCTCGCCTGCTTCAGCCTCTTCAGGCTCTCTTCCATCTTGCGCACAGACGTGAGTACGTCGGAGACCGTCTCGTGGTACCTGCGCGCATCGCGGCAAAGGAAACACACCGATGCATTCTAACGCGTGAGGTGGTACCGATGGCGTTGTGGCTGCACCACTGGCGTTGGGTGGCTTCTGAAACCGGTCCCCTCCCGTCCCCAGGGAGGATGCGTGCCTCCAAGGCCATGATGAAGCTGTGCTCCCATGCAACCAGAGTTGATTGCAACCCCATTGGTGGTCAAGATGAGATAATTCGAGGATAAATCGAATGTAAAACTGTAACACCACCTACACACATATTTTATCACCCACTAGTCCAGACGAGTCTGTTTCTCTTTACTCTGGAATGTGTGACCCAAATTAAAACATGCGTGAATCTAGCCTACAAAACAGTACCTAGTTCCATTGAACAATTATATATTCCATAAAATGACGGCTTACTTCATTGTTCCAGTCCAAGCTCAAGACCTTACTCTTTTTCTTTGCATATGACCAACTGGCGATAAAATAAAACATTTCAACCGTTTCCGTACAGCGTCTTGGAACTCCCGTCGCGTCTAGATGCTCGGTGAGTCCGCGCTGCATTGGTCTCGATGTGTCACCTCTCTGTGCTTTTCCGCAACGAGTCGAGGATCCAGGCGTGCAGGCGAGCGTGCTCCACGGCGCCCGTGTGCTCGCTCAGCATCTGCTCCAAGGGTCGGAGCGCATTCTCCACGTAGGGCGAGGGCCTGCTGGGGGCATCCTGCAAAGAGACAGACGCAGATCCCCGGTATAGCCTTAACAGACTGTTGAGGCATGATAGTGAGCACCTATGAAGGCCGGCACGGCACACGAGGGGGTGGGAGGCCAGCATCACGCCCGACCGTCTTTGTCTCCCTAGTGGCGATGTTTTACACACCACACCAGGTACTCATTTGAGGCTGAGTCGACCTAGGGGAGGCCCAGGGCCAGTTGAAATAATCGGCACTGGTGTTGGCCATGAACGGGAATCGAACTCGGGTTGCCGGATTCGTAGCCCAGCGTGCTAACCGCTACGCCACCACTCCCCAAACCGTACACACACAAGCTTATCAAGAACACGTGCATTTGCGGTGTACACACAAACAGTTCTGTAAAGGTGCACCACTACAATTGTTTTCTCCAGAGCCTCTCTCTCTCTCGAGGGTAACTTGGTTGGCTCGCCCACACAGAGTACCCACCATACTCCACCGGACACAACCTGCTCATCAACTGTGGTGCAGCCCTTTACACTGCTGCGTGGGCACAGGCAGGCAGGGTACTGAAGAAACCTGCCCTTCGTTTCAACTGCTGCGCCGGGAGATTGAACCTGCAAACTTCAGTGCTCGCCCCGAGCTATGAATGCTATGATACGTGTGGCATTGCCTTTGTACTGTCCACCTTTTGGCGTTCTCTGGTCTCGCAATGGTGAGACTATGGCATCAAGAAGGTGGTCTCTGGTGGAGGCCAATCAGTTTAGAAGACAATGCATATTTTATCAGAATACTTTCGTTTGCATGTTCACCACAAGTACGTTTTGTTAATGCAGACATGATTCCTTGCAAAAGCTATCTACTTGGTATTTGAACATCTTAACACCTCCTGGTTTATTGCCAGAAAGGGTAAAAACCTATTCTTATTTTTCAGAACTTCAGTGTGCTCATCATTGCAACATCCGCCCTTATACAGGAACTTATGGTAATTCATGCGTGAATGGGGTTTCTATAAACACACAGCCTTAATTGTCTTTTGCTTCCTCGCAGAGCACGGTTAAGGCCATTTAAATGTGTATCAGATAGTTCCATAGGGGCATCAGAAAGGTTTTGTTCAATATTGTGCAATCTATATTGGAAGACACAATCCTAAAACTAAAGCCGCTCTGCTCTTGTAAATACCAAACCAGTGACTGTCTAACGTACATTTCAAGTTTTGTTGCTGTTAAAAACAGACTGAAAAGTGATGGCCCAGTACAAGGCTGTAGAGAGATTGCAGCTGTACTGGAGGGTACCGTGACATCACGAAGGTGATAAAACAAACAACTAACCATGAATGTAAGGTTTAGGGCTAATAAAGAGACCCATGTGTGTGGGGTGGCCCATGGATATTTTGTTTGTTTTGGGTGGGGTTCTCCTTTGGGGAGCGGTGGTTCACAGTTAGCGTGCAACGCTAAAAACCTGGCAACCCGAGTTCGATTCCTGCTCACAATCAACGCCAGTGACAATTATCCGAACCAGTCCTGAGCCTCCCCTATGTAGACTTAGCCTCAAATGCGATGTGTAAACATCGTCACTCGGGAGACAAAAGCGGCCGGGCGTCCTGCCGACTTCCCACCCCCTCATGTGCCGTGCCGACCTTCATAGGTGCTCGCTAACAGCGCTTGCCCAAAGAGTCTTACAGCTACACGAGGGATCTTTGCCCTTCTCCATGACGATCGTACTACGACTTACGTCGCTTCCCAGCCCTCTGGTGAAAAACAGAGGGCTCAGATATTATTTAAAGCCGATGTTAGCTGTAACCAATAATCCCAGGTCGCCAGGATCACAGCAGTGCTATAACCTCGACATGGCCACCTCCACCTTGATTAAATGTTGCACATTGAACAACCATGACACTGCCACGTTAGGGACTAAAATCAAACAAAGTCCTCCTTCACAGCCATGACCAGGCCACTGCTGGAAGCATGCATCCACAAGCCATCTCCGCCTATCGCAGTCGTCCTTCCTAGCGGCCTGCATCTCATCGTGAAAGTTGCGCTTCCTTGCTGACCACTGCCTCATCCTGTTTCGCCATGCTGAGAAACTCCTCTGGCACTCATCACCACCCTGTTCTCCACTAGATTACAGTTTGCAGCCAAGTCTAAAGTCACATCTTGCCATTCTCATTCTGGATTACTTATGGTGACGAGGTTCACAGTAGGCGTTGACATATCGTCAGCAACTTCCAGTCTCACAATCAGTGATCGATGTGTATGTTGAACTTCTTTAGCACCGTGCATAGACAATTGTGCTAATCGGAGGTATAATTACGATGCTCGTGCGGAGCGTCGTGGTGCATGAGGGGAGCCGTGGTGCGTGCGGCGCGCTGTGGTGCGTGTGGGGCGTCGTGGTGCGTGTGGAGCGTCGTGGTGCGTGCGGCGCGCTGTGGTGCGTGTGGGGCGTCGTGGTGCGTGTGGAGCGTCGTGGTGCGTGCGGCGCGCTGTGGTGCGTGTGGGGCGTCGTGGTGCGTGTGGAGCGTCGTGGTGCGTGCGGCGCGCTGTGGTGCGTGTGGGGCGTCGTGGTGCGTGCGGCGCGCCTGCTCGCCTTGTTGGTGCGGCGGTAGAGCCGCGGCACCTCCTGGGCACCACGCAGGCAGCCCGAGCACAGCTCGGCGAGCTCCCCCGTGATGCGCGTGCCGCACGCCGGCACGGCCCCCTCCAGGGCCGCTCGCGACTCCGCCAGCGCGCCTACAGCGGAGGAAAGCACACCGCCTGCACGTGACGCTGCAGTGCGGGGGCACCTCGCGCGTGCCACTGCAACGTGACGGGAGCCGAGGGGGTCACGTGCTGGGGCGCATTCCACGAGACGATCACGACTACGGTAACTTTTACAAATGTTGCAATCTATTTCATTCCTATGTTTAAAACAATGTTTTCAATGAATACTGATTTTCTTTCTGTTTAACCGAAAGAAAATAATTTTAGCAGAACAAGCTGCGGTGATTGTATTTTTAATGCACCATTTACAACTGTGTAGGTTTTTGCAGTTTTGCTGGAGGGCTCTCCGGGATCACTCGCCATCGACGTTAGCCGTGCCTGCCAATCAAACCGAGGTCACCGGGTTCATAGTGCAGGGCGCGCCAACCACTGTGCAAACACGCAGCCCTGCCCGAGTGGTGATTGTGATTACGTGGTAGACGAGGCAAATAAAGTCACATGTTGGAGTACACAGCATCAGTACTTTCATGAGCGCTAGCATGGCGGCATTAGAAGTCTCTAATCCGCAGCACCCTCCGCCCACGCGAGGTCCTGTGAGTGCGGTATTGAGCGTGCCGGAGCGATGGAGCCTACCGGAGAGGCTGTCGTAGTCTTTGAACCCCAAGAGGTCCAACCGGGGCTTGATCACAGTCTGCAAAAAGTCTTCAAGCTGAAAAAGAAAAAGGCATGTTTCCCAATGGGCCCATGCAATGTAGCACGACATAATAATTGCATTACACATCATCACTTTATAAAACAAAGCTATTCTGCTCAAACTAAAATTTTTTAATCCCATCAGGTTTCGGTGTTGTCAACGTCAATATTTTACATTGGTAACCATGACAAACAACAGATTTCCCATTGTATGCTCATAGTACTCACTAGCAGACCATTACTAGGCTGCACACTTGCCATGGCGTATGAATGGATGTTATCAATGATAACAGCCAACGTGAATACAGTTGATTCCCACTTTAAAAGTATGATGCATCACTGGTTGGGTGTATGATCAATATGCTACTGTCTTGGCAGGCAAGTTACATCACAACGTAGCGTTGTTCAATACGATGTAATACTACACAGTCATACACTATTCTCAGTGTAAGATATCACTTTCAGGAGATTAGCATTGTGATGACGCACCCAAATTAACTGCACTCATTCGAGGCTATTCATAGTTTCAACGTTTTTGTGGAGGTAAAACTATTCTAGAGACCCTACATCGACTCACGTATTTCCTGCCCTATTGTGTGCATCCAATTTCAATTCCCTACGATAATAGCTTACAATTCAAACATTTTTAAGTTTCAATCATTGTGGCGGTTGGGTGTGTCCACTTAGCCATAGCAGAGAGGTCTAGCAAATGTAAAGGTGTGATGGTGGGGTGTGGGGACATCAGCATTGCCCGTGATGACGTCTTGACCTTTGTATACAAAAAACCTCTGTTTTAGTTTACAGCCCCTTTGTCCAGCCATATCACATGGGCCGAGTGGGTGTTTGATCATTGTGGGTGCATGAGTGGGTGTGTGATCACTGTGGAGTGTAAGTGGGTGTGTGATCACTGTGGAGTGTAAATGGGTGTGTAACCACTGTGGGTGTGTAACCGCTGTGGGTGTGATCATTCTTTGACAATTCTGGCACAAGCGTCGTGGTGACGTCACCGCCACTTAGTGGCGAATGGCGGTCGTTGTTGTTGTTGTTGTGACCATTCTACACAACGCTGCTCGGTGTGCGCGCTGGTGAAGGCAGATATCACTCGCCACCGACGTCAGCCGTGGCTGGGAAACAAACTAATCAGAGCGCAGTGCACAAACCACTCACTGCGCCACGCACAAAACCTACCAAACGTAAATTTTGATTTAGCTTTCAAATATATAAACAAATCCTGTACAATACAAAATATAGCTACACACAAAGTATAGACTAATTTTTGTTTCCGAAAACATATCAACAACTGACGTACCTTTTTCTGTATCCTGTCACTATCACCAACGACTGATGCCAGCTGGCCACATGACGGGGCTTTGGAGCTCGACACATCAGAGGCGGTCCTGCCCGTGTGATTCTCCTCGCCACCCAGGGACTGCACCGAGGGCGACCGCTTCACCCCCGCGCCACCGTAGGCGTTGACCGCACCGTGCGGTTCGTGCTGATGTTGATGCTGCTGAAGCATGGAGCCAAACCCGGGGGTGGACTGCGAAGGCTTGAGCCCTCCACCCTCCCGTCGTGGATGGTCGTGCGGGTCGGGGGCCGGAGGCTCCAGCAGCTGCATGAAAGTCACGGCGAGTAATGCAGAGAGGCAATCAAGTATCGCACCACCTGAGTGTCTGTCAGAACACTGAGCCTGTAGCACAAAAATACTCGGTTTGAAACCAGGGCAGCCCCTCAATCATCAAACCAGGATGCCAATGCCGACACAAACTAAGCGATAGGTTTAGTTATTCACTCAATTAAGATGAGATTAAACATGTAACCAGACATGAGATGAATAACCTTTGTGTTTGTGCACCACTTCCCCTCGGCAGTATCACCAATAATTATTGGTAATATATCTATAATTAGCATTGCAATACATGACAGCACATTACAGATCGCCACCTAGTGTTGGCTCAGACTCGAGCAGTATTGCTGTGGTCTGATGTGAGAGACGCTCTCATGCTACTGGAATCCAAAGGTAAAATAGACAAAACTAATTAATCCAATCAAACAAGAAGAAAAACACAATTGAAGTCAACAATGCCACTTCTAAGTGAAATTGCCAGGTTTGGTTGATTTCTGCTCTGCACTCTGAGGACCCACACGTGGTCTCACATTCTGACCTCTTGCATCCAGATGGCATAGCGAGCCAGCATCTGCAGCGTGACCTTCCAAAAGCGATGAGCCAGGGGCGGCAGGTACACGGGGTCGGCCCAGCACCTCTGCAGACTCATCCACAGCCCGTGGGTAGCGTGGAGCCGGAACTCACTGTCAGCTGCACAGGGGACACGGCAGGGAGCCGGTTATTACATGCAACAACATTGTTGCGTGCAAATAGGCATTACATTTAAATGCTGTAAATCATTCATATTTTCAATGCATAAAAAGGCAAGCATGCAGCTTTTTTCATACATAATTCTGTACAAATATTTAAATAGAAAATAAAGCACAGCATATACCACACAGCATGAGCTCTACAATGTATGAAGCTTGAGAAATACAGCATCAAAAGGCATGACCCTCGCGATACAGAGGGCCAAGCCGGATGCACCGTAAAACCTTTGCGGTGTTGTGTGTGGGTAACGTCAGGTGGAGACGACTGACCTGGTGCCGGCTGGAGCCCCGAATGCAGCGCACTCTCCAGGTTTTCAACCAATTCCTTGAACCTGTATAGCCGAGACAAAAATCCAATCCCTAAGGTTGTGTCAGCATCACTAACAGTCCATTCCCCATCATCAAGCATCGCCGCAAGTGGGCTTGGGCAGGACATGATGCTAGAAGGGATGAGGGCCGATGGTCAACAATAATCATGGGGTAGCAGCTGAGGGATAAAAAGTGTCAGAGAGAGCATCCACCAAAGAGGAGCGGGGAATCTGCTCGTGTGCGGGTGCTGGGTGGATTGTTACGTATATCTATTGAACTTCTTTCGTACCGCACGTAGCCAACCGTGCTAATCGGAGGTGCGGGGGAAGGAAAAGAAACTAAACACAAATAAGTATAACCCGTAAAAACAAAGTTTTTCACTCTAAATCCTTTATATGCGTGGTGGCTAGAGTCCTCTCGTCCTCTGGCTTGAGATGGCTGCCACCTATGGGTCAGATGATTGTATGCAGTATGAAACAATTGGTAATTAAATATTTAATTTGTTTTCCCTAAACAGTGTAAAATTTTGGAAAAAAATTTTCACGAACATTAATTGTCTCGCACAACGAGTCTGTGTGCAAAATGTCAGCTCGATTGGATCACGGGAAGTGGGTTAAAAAACGACCGAAAGGTTTGCACGGTCGTAAGCAAGCAAGCAAGCGAACTTAATATAAAGGATTTAAAAAACAGAACTGTGAGGGATGGAGGTAGCTTGGGGGCCTTCATCTAGCAGTGGATCGATGTGACAAACATTAAATTACTCTCATTTGATCACAACATTAACGATGTAGTTTCCTTCATTACAGTTAAAGTTTGTACATAGGGGCATGTGTCAGAGAGAAATGTTGGTAGAAGTAAGTCCTATTTATACATGATTTAATCTGATAATTGCATCTTTAAATTTAATCCACCTACAAAAAGCGATTACATACACCTTCTCTAAAACAGGCAAGACCAAGCGTGTAGATGTGCAAGCTATGGAAAAAAGTCTGTACATGATAGCTACATTTGTAAACCGAGCACAAGACGTTACAGGCCATAGACAGCACGTGCAATCGTGGTGCATGAAACCCACACACAATGGGGCTGCTCTGGTCGGTAATGTTGCTGAATGATGGGATGTTATTCATGCTTGCCTTATCCCTTCACGGTAAGCAGAAAGGAACATGAGCCTCCTCTGGTTAATTTGTTAATTTCAGTGATTTCCCCCCAAGTGATACTCCTGCAGTGGAGCCATGCAGTGTACAAAGTCTTATGGAACATCTTGCAGCCACCACACGATCATGTCATACAAGGAAGTGGACCCAGAAGATGGGCAAAATAAGCAACCACACTTTGAATATTTTAAACAAATTTAAGGATCATCCGAAGAATATGCATGAGGTGTAATTTTGAAGGTAATTACCTATTATTTTGGAAAATATGGCTTTATAGGGATAGCCTTTAGACATTCCATGGGCAAGGTAAGATAGCACTGAAGACAGCTCAGCAACCCACATGGACCTTGTCCTGATTATGGTTAACAAAGTTAAACAAAACGTTGCTCCTAATCGCTTAATTTGGTTGTGAGAATTGTTCTGAAACTCACCGGTGAGCGACCTGAAACAATAAACATTTGTGCATTTCACATTTGTATTTGTGGATATTAATTTGCTTTGTCATGTCGGGTGGTAAAGTGTTCTTAGCACAGACTTGGTGAGATCATGACACGGGCCTTGGCCAAAAATCTATTACAAATATTTTAATAATTAGAATCCCAAACTTAAGATTGATGAAAAATCAATCCACATGATCAACTGTTTTGCATAACATGCATGGGATTTACAAATTTGTGTTAATCTTGGGGTAATGTGATTTGCTATCAGGGACTGTGGTGTACACATATTGGACCCGCTTAACGACAAACGCTCATGCCAATGCACCATATAATAAGTATAACCCGTAAAAACAAAGTTTTTAACTCTAAATCCTTTATATGCGTGGCGGCTAGAGTCCTCTCGTCCTCTGGCTTGAGATGGCTGCCACCTATGGGTCAGATGATTGTCTGCAGTATTAAACAATTGGTAATTAAATATTTAATTTGTTTTCCCTAAACAGTGTAAAATTTTGGAAAAAAAATTTCACGAACATTAATTGTCTCGCACAACGAGTCTGTGTGCAAAATGTCAGCTCGATTGGATCACGGGAAGTGGGTTAAAAAACGACCGAAAGGTTTGTACGGTCGTAAGCAAGCAAGCAAGCAAGCACGCAAGCAAGCAAGCAAACTTAATATAAAGGATTTATAGAAAGTCAAAGTAATTTTCTCCTCAATTAAGCACCGAGGCAGAACCCTGCGGGGTCCACTTACCGTATCTGAAAGAACACGGACAGGCTCCACTTGTTTGAGAAGCTCTCGTAGGCCGCGTGTGCACGCAGCCGGCGCACACTGGCCTGGGATGCGCACTGCCTCTCAAAGGCAGACACAAACTCCATGCTCACGTTGTATTTCTGGTCTCAGCAAGGGCATTGTGGTCGGGAATAAAAACAAAACAAAAATTTCCAACGTCATCATCAGCCAAGATCTATCAAATGCTGGACAAAGACCTCCCACATAATGTCGCCATCCTTCACGGTCTCACAATGCCCTAAAGATATTTATATTTTTACTCAGGATCTCTGAGTTCTACATGAATACAATCACACTGAGTAAGATGTGGTAAAGATGCAACCCTGCAATTGCTTACTCACAACCACTGCTGGTGGAAGGGCCTCGCCACGAGAGGGAAATCTAGAGGGTTCCCCTCGAGGGTATTTTGCCTACTCTTTCACACTGGCGAGTCCCCACATTTACCACACCACACAGGACCTGCCGATCGACTGTGGTGGGGCCCGTTTAAACTGCTGGGTCTGCAAAGGAACAGGGATTTATACAACTTGCACCAAAGTTTCGACTGCAGTGCCGGGAGATCGAACATCCAACCTCTGGATTGCAAGTCCAGTACGTTCACCATTCCACCACAGCAGCGTCCCGTCAGAGTGTAATTCTGAGATGCCAATTAAGGGTGAATAGGCCCACCTCGTGGAAGACATCGGGATTCCCCGCATTGAAGATGGAAGAGAGACGTTGCTCCAAACACCGCACCATCTCGGGCCACACGGAGTTCACAGGGAAGTCGTAGCCATGCACAACCTCCGTTCTCTCCCCGCTGCACACAACAGTCTCACGTCAGTTTATATCCACGCAACCGCTTAACCAGTGTCGAGACTAGGCATGATGAACGAGGTATTGCACTCTTCATCATTTCACTGCCACCTCTTTGCGAGTTTAATAACAAAGTTCCTTTCATAACGAAAAATGTGCAATTGCTGATAAAAAAAACAATATAGTATTCAAGTAACCTCACACCCGACTCCAAACACAAGTACAGACATTATTGACTGTTCATCCTATGATGGACAGCAAATGAGCAGTGCAACTGCTCTATAATCTGATTAAACAACTCCTCATAGGTGATGCCCAACTGATATGTTCTTGCAATTGAAAAGTAAAACGGTTCACCATGCTGGACTAAATAACATTGAACTAAAGCTACCGGTACTCAAAAATTAGTCAAAGGGATCTCATGCTCAAATGAGCATTGAGGCAGTGGTGCCCCATCTCCTGTTGACAAGACTGAGCCAGTGGTGGAAGTTCCATGTCCCTAGCGCAGAAGTCAGTATATCCGTAGGACTACCTCACTGTTCACTTCCCCAGTGGTACTCGCTTTATCGACCCCAGAGGAATGATGGGCTGAGTCAACCCCCAATCAAGACATGAAATTGAAACTTCCTGATTGCGGGCCGCTTGCTCTACCGCTGAGCCACCTAGCCAGGTAGTACCGAATTAACTAGAATGTCTATATAGTAGATGTACCTGACAAGTGTTCCCATAGTGACTTCCTTGAGCAGACGGCAGTGGTGTGGTACAAACTCAAGCAGCTTGCTGTACATGCCCTTGAGACCCTGGGGGTGGCTCTGTACGTACTGCTCCGAGACGACCTGTAAGAACAGCAGCGACGGCAGCAGCAGCAGCAGCAGCAGCACATGACACCGCATTAGTTTTAAGATGTACCGCCAAAGTCATCGTTACACAGTGATAACATGGGACATCATAAATGCAGGAATTCTGATATAAAAGTTATCACTCACCCAAACAAAAATTTTGCTGTGTTTCCCAATTAAGTAATTTCCAAGTTATTTTTCAAATTTTGCCAATTGGACCATGACTCCTATACACAATGCCCTATTATTCAAATTCTGTCACGTGATCTTTAGTATCCACTGTGAGGCATAAAATGCACATCTATGGTATGAATTAGTTTTAACCAGGCCCACCTCCTGTTATTGTGCTACTGCTGGGCCATATCACTGCTCCATGATGATCATGATTTAAATTGTGCTCGTCCACCTTAACCGTTCCTAATGCAACACCCATCTGACTCTCCGACACGGTGGTGGCTGTGCGCGGTCTACCTCCTCAACAAACGGCCTGACGAGAATCTGCGAGACGAGAGCCTCTGCGTCGCGTGTCTTGTCGATGGTGGCGTACGTGCGCAGGCACTGCCGCACTACGCCACCGTCGCCCGCCTGCAGCCCCTCCAGCAGCAGCCCCTCCAGCGAGTGCTGCAACGTGGCCGTGATGCCCGCGATGCGCTGCAAAGATAAAGATCTCCCGTATAGCCTAAACATACTATGAAAGCCGGCATGGCACAAAAGGGAGTGGGTGGCCAAGACCACGCCCGGCCTCCTTTGCCTCCCAAGTGGAAATGTTTTTACACAGTGCCAGGTACTCATTTGAGGCTGAGTCGACCTAGAGAAGGCCCAGGACCGGTTCAGATAATCGTCACTGGTGTTGGCGGTGAGCGGGAATCGAACTTGGGTCACCGGATTAGTTAAGCAGCGCACTGGCCGCTATTCTACACACACACAATATAAATAACGGACCGAATTCAACACTAGTTTCCCGACATGATATTTACTGCCACATATCCATGCAAAGAAGTTTCCAGCAAAATGTCGATTGAGGTTCAACATGTTCGGACACCATGTATCACACTAATATGAAGACATACAGAACACATGTGGGCAGTTCCATGATGTCAGAGATACAAGTCAGATACTTTAAAGATTTAGGTCATCATTAGTATAATCACAAAGTCGTGTTTTACTGCGGCATAGTATGTGTCCACCTTTCTTGATTAAGGGGAAATGGTCACAAAATATCATGGCATTGGACTTACACGGACAAACTGTTTCATCTGTGCTGCGATGATGACATATTTGAGATATATTTTCTAAAACTACAGATAATGATGTTAACAATGGCAACCCGTATGTATTATTAGGACAATTTAGAAACATGTTCTGGGTTTCCCCAATGAATGGAACTGCCCATACAGTTGACCATATGTTCAAAGATTTTAAAGAGGATTAACGGCTCTCTACCAACTCTGACGCCGCTCTTGATTGTCGAGGACCTTGTCAGTTGTGCATTCATTCTTACCGGGCGGATATTGTCCAGTAGGGGCATGCCTTTGCTCTGAACAGCGTAAAACTGCAACTGGTTAAACTCGGTGGCGATTCTTTCCAGGGTCTGCCCAGCCAGTGGAACGCTATTGGAAACAAGGATACAAAAAACACAGACACCTAATATTGAGTCCATTTTAAGCTCAACATTTTACACCATATTAGAAAAAAGGTTCGCTGCCTGGCTGGCGTGTGGGCAAGTGTGTGGTGACATCACCATTGGTTACCTGTTGGTGTCAGAAGCAGATAGGCCGTCCCTGGAGCCTTGCGTTTGAAGGATTTTCTCTATTTTTTCCACTGAGCGGATCACGTGCATTAACCTCTGCAGGCAAGCCTGGGAAATTAAGACAATGCACACTTAGCAGTGATTTGAAGTCATGAAGAATGTGAAAGGTCCTTTAGTGAAAGACGTGAATAATTAGGTGTGCAATGATTAATACACAACCAAACTTGTCCCTGGCGTCATGAAATGTATATAAATCTGGATGCACACACACCGACTGGATTATAAGGCACACTCACACATTTCGCTTTATATGCAGGGAGAAAATATGCACCTTTTAATCCAGAGAATACAGAAATAACAATATTCTAACATATATACAACCGTATTTAGGGTAATATTTTGGTTGGTTTGTCAACACCTCACCTTTTTCTTACGAATATCTGTCCTCTTGGCCAGCCTGTCATCGAAGGCTTGAATTACTTCGTTTAGTGCAGACCTCACACACTACAGCAAAGAAAACATGGTTTACCTTATGTACCAATACATGCTTAATGAAACATTATTTCTTAACAATGAGTGGAAAAAAACACAAATCGACTCTCAGCCTTTCAGCAGCCTACGAGAGAACCGATGTTAATTTGTCCACAACCGAACTAAATTTGCCACGTGTGCTTTACAAGCTTAAGATCCTGCAAAGTGGAAGTTAATCTTGTGGTGTTGATCCATGTATTCCTCTTTCAGGTCTCTCAATGTGATTCCCATAATGCATCTCTCTTTCCTTCCTATAGCCGCTGTTCTCACATTGCTATGGGGCTGGCTGCCCAGTCTCCCCCCTCCCACTTGTCTGTGGACGGCTTCCCTTGTCACCCAGCCACTTTCATTTCCCTATTCACGTTATCCTTGCATCTTCCTCTCCTTCCTGCATGACGTCTCCTTTCTCACGCCGCACCTCATGGCCATACCATCTCAGTCTTGCTTCCCTTGCTTTGTCAACATTAACCAGCATTGCATCTCTGCTTGTATACTAAAAGTGAATTTAACAGACTGCTTCTTAAACAATGCCTTTTGAATCAAGAGGACCTGTTAATGTGAAACCCTTTTTAACCAAAATCAATGATGCATGCCTTAACTATTAATTTCTTGAAAGCTACTGGCAACCTAGGGTGTAACTTTGATAATTTAATGTTCCGAGAGACTGTTCATTTTGTACTTTAACATTCAAAGGCCTTTTAAACCAATGGCTACCTTTTTGATAACGCCACCTGTCGTATTTTGCAGCCTTCTTTTATTTGGAAAATTGTCTAGGATTTCCTGTGGTTAATTTCCATTTGTTATTATAACCATGTTATGAATATGATCTTGATTTGTTTATTTATTTCTCCAACCTAATTTTCAAATTGTATCTTCTAATTCAACTTTTAATAGCCTTCGACAGAGGGTATCTCCTGACTGCTCTTTTATAATGTGTATTTTATTCCATTCAATTTCATAAAACCAGGAAAAAATGATACAACAGTGCAATCATAAACCCAAACCTTCATAAATATAAATGCAGAAATTTGCTAAAGAATTACGACTATAATGAGCCAAGAGTGTCTGTTGGTGTGTAACGCGCGTGACGTCACTCCACATGCCGCACCCCCCACCCCCGTCATTAATATTCATGAGTGGGTGGATTTTTACACTCGTGCAGAAGGTCGAGCAAATTCGCTTTAAGTTTGACGTTTCCTTATTGAAAGTTAATCTAAAAAATAATCCCGTGCTGCAACAAAGTGGATTTGAGCATAGGTTTTCCCCTTTTTCTGGCAATAAAACAGGTGTTAAGATGTTAAAACACCAAACTGAAACCTTTTACAAGGAATCATGTCTGTGTTAACCACAATACTTGTGGTCAGAATGCAAAAAAAACACACTCTGATAATATATGCATTGTCTTTGAAACTGATTGGTCTCTGGTGTGGACCAATCACTGCCATTAATACAGTGCTACAGTACAATGCAGTGAAGTGTTTGATGACATACATTTGTGCAAGATTCACTGCCATTAAATTTACACAAGATACAATTATACTCTGCTCAATTGTTTCGTAAATATTACAGCTTCCATCCTAGAACGGGCAAACAAGCTAGTTTACAGGCAAACAAGCTAATATATATATCTCAAATCATTAAACAACTTAATGTGCATTATCTTTGGAGGGAGGCAAAAATATTACCAGGACTTCCTCTCTCAGCTGCCCCAGGGGTACTCGAAGCTGATTTAATGATTTGTCCATTCCAACCTGATAGAAAAACGTAATTACATATGAAAGCGTTACAGATAAACACAGTAAAAACATGGAAACTGCAGTAACATGACAACGAAATTGTGTTATACTTATATCCCATAACCACAAGTCAATGCTGCAATTTGCACTTCAATCTCACAAATGCATCTTTGCATTTTCTTCTAAGTGTGTAAATTTTGTTGAAATATAACTGCATACATTAAATATTAAGTCATGTTCCCCCATGTACTTTCCATTACAGGTTATGTTTCACGTAGGTTAACCTACGTGACTTTACCAATATATTTTTACCGAAAAATCCAAAGAGTATGGATCCTTGCAGTCACGAAAGCTTCTAGAATTAAAGTTTAAAATAATCTCATACATTTACAGAGCGCCTTATATCCAAGGCACTCTACAAGAATTGTAAATGGTACAATCAGGTTAGCTAAAGGTGATATGGTGGCATGTGAGAGGAGGGGAAAGAGAAGAGTATAGGGATAGGTATGAGGAGGGCGGTTAGTGGGAATTACAGGGGTACCGAGGGATGGAGGGAAGGATGGGCTAGGGAGATGAGGTGGGGGTCTTGAGGGAGGAGCGGAAACTAGACAGGGAGGGTGCTTCTTGCTTCATGTGGAGGGGAAGTGTGTTCCGGTGCAAGGGGGCGAGTAGGGGAAAGGTGCGGAAACGGGATTGTGCCCAAGAAGGGGGAAACGGTGAAGAGTAGGGGAGATTGAGAGCGGGGTGGGCGGGAGGGGACATTGCATATTATCTGCAATGACGTGTGTATAGGAACATGGACACTCAGTGGGGAATCGAACAAAAGGTGAAAAGTACTCAAGAATCGTGCAGAAATGCATGCTGGGAATTGCACCGACAGAAAATGAAGCACGTTGATCAGAGAAGCTGTTATTCCTAATTAAAGACATAATAACTCGTAATAAATATGCGTTGGGGCAGCACTCAACTCTTTGTGATGATTGCAAACAGCAGTGAATGGTGAGAGATTGGCAGCCAAAAGAGTTGCTAGGGCTAAAAAGACCACTTCAAACGGAGTGATGATAATTAGGTGATGTGCAAGAGATGGATTATGGATTCACAAGGCAATGAGAAAAGCCGATGGTAGTACTTTATTCAGCCATCGATAGATGATGGCTATGGTAATTCTGAATTGTAATTAGACACACGGCTTGCATGCAGCATTCAATAGCATACCCATACGGGCTTTCGAGGACACGGGTGAGGTAAGTCGTGGAAGGCAAAATGATGTGCGTGGCTTGCGAGGTGGGGGGTGGCAGGGTCATTGCCATCTGTTTGCTGTGCCACCATATCCTGTTTGCTATGAAATATCATTGACCAAACAAAACCGGCGATGTAGTACAAAAAACCGAACACCATGGCCACCCTGCCAGCCAAGACAATGAAGTGTAAGTCGACTCGACTGATGGAGGCGAGCAGGAAGTAAGTAACCCTGTGACGGGCCCGCGCACCAAGTTGGATGAGAGGTTGACGAAGTCCGCGTAATCTTTGTTGATGAGCTCCACCATGGAGCTCTTGAGAAGTTTGTAATACACCTCCAAGTCCTCGCGCAGCACCTCCAGCTGCACGTGCTTCTTGCATTCTGCCACGAAGCTGTCCACGTCAAATCCGTCCTGTGGAATGTTTCACGAATCGTTATAACGTCATACGTTCTGCTACATGCAAATAACACAAACCACAAGGCAGGCTTGATATCTGCCTGCATTGCAGCTGATACGGAAGTGACGTGTCAAGAAAGCAATTCACGCCGTACACTTAAAGACAACCCACACGATTCTTCAGTGCCCCCCTTGTCTGAGCCTGCGGTGCTAGGGACAGAGTGGCGCATGTAGAACGGATTTTACGGGCAGATCTGCCCCAGATCTGCGTGTCAGTCGCTCGTCCCCCCACGGGACGTTTCCCGGCTGAGAGCCCAGCCCAACGACCGCGGATATCGCAAAGTTCTCAGCTTGACACGTAGGCGAGGTATATTAGATATACACGACACCGATACGTCTACATATTGCAACAGGGCAACTCTAATATACCGCCTGCGGCACCACACACAGCTGCCTCGGCAGCGTGCTCCACGAGCCTCGGTCTTCTCGCCCGTCTCTCCCGTGTGTGTTCTCGCCTCTCGGGCCTGCTGCCAGGCCACGACCTCGGCCTTGCTTAGTTTCACTACGGGCAACGAGGCGAGATCTCGGGGGAAGTGTTGGGCAGACCCCCCCACTCCCTCTCCCGACTTCTTCCCCGAGCCTGCGTCAGAAACAAATGTGACATGCACGCTCACTTTCATGAACTGCTCCCTGTCGAAGCACAAGCTGCTGCTGCTGCCGCCGCCGCCGCCCGGCAGCAGGCCGCCCCTGGGCTCCGAGGCCATGTCGCTCGAGGCGCCGAGGGGTCGAGAGTCGCTGTCGCTACCGCGGAACGCGCGGCGCCATCGCGGCGCGGCGCCTGCAACGTAGACAGCCGTGACGTCACCGTCACGTGGGGCGGCGGCACGCGACGGAGCGACGTCATCGCGGCACACAGAGATGGGCCGTGACGCCATCGCGGCACACAGAGATGGGCCGTGACGTCATCGCGACACACAGAGATGGGCCGTGACGTCATCGCGGCACACAGAGATGGGCCGTGACGTCATCGCGACGAGGGAAGCGGCGTGACGTCGGCGCCTAGAAATGGGCGACAATTAATGGACGTGGCAAATGAATCTCAGGAGAAGAAGAGAGTCGGTCAGTGCGAAAGGAAAGATGAGCCTGGACTTGAAACAGTGGCAGGGTGTTGCGGCGCGAGCGGCAGGGGCGGGGCGAGGGGGATGTTCCAGACCGTGAGGGCATCAGAAGCCAGTGAGCGACCTCCCCGCTGGGTGAAGGTTGACCACTCAAAGCTTTGGTTGCTGGAGCAGCTTTTAAAGCGCCTATCTCACAAGCCCCGCAAGTCACGCGCAGTGTCTCTGTGTTAAACATGAAAAATGCTGTACATGGGCCGTAAAACATACCTCAGGTTTTTTTAAACCTTCAAATACATCAATTGGATTGGAGGCAATCACACAATCAGCATTGATAATGGGAACTACGTCGGCGCATTAGCCCATGGGGGAGGGAGGGGTGGCAGCATCTGTCACGGCAGGCTTGCGCGTGACGTCACGGCGTTGCTGGGCAACCTCGCATCCCCCCTCCCACCCGCCTCTGGTGCGTGGGGGGGACCAACCTGGGGGGCGGGGGGGGGGCTCTAGATGGGGGCGGGGCTGTGGGTGTTGGGGGCTCTAGATGGGGGCGGGGCTGTGGGTGTTGGGGGCTCTAGATGGGGGCGGGGCTGTGGGTGTTGGGGGCTTTAGATGGGGGCGGGGCTGTGGGTGTTGGGGGCTCTGCAGGGGGCGGGGCTGTGGGTGTTGGGGGCTCTAGATGGGGGCGGGGCTGTGGGTGTTGGGGGCTTTAGATGGGGCGGGGCTGTGGGTGTTGGGGGCTCTGCAGGGGGCGGGGCTGTGGGTGTTGGGGGCTCTAGATGGGGGCGGGGCTGTGGGTGTTGGGGGCTTTAGATGGGGGCGGGGCTGTGGGTGTTGGGGGCTCTGCAGGGGGCGGGGCTGTGGGTGATGGGGGCTCTGCAGGGGGCGGGGCTGTGGGTGTTGGGGGCTCTAGATGGGGGCGGGGCTGTGGGTGTTGGGGGCTCTGCAGGGGGGGGGGAGTTTGACGAGATGGGGGGGGGCTCAAGGGAGGGGGGCTCGCTGGCGGCGTGGGCTGCTCTGGGGGAGAGAAACGGGGGGGGGTAGGGGGGGGTGCTGTGGGGGGGGGGTGTGGGAGCTTATTGGGGGGGGGGGCGATGAATGAGCTCGAGCGAAATGAAGGGGCGGGGGGGGGGCGAGAGATGTGCGTGGGGGGGTTGTCGGTGTGGATGTGAATGCTCTGTGGGGGAGCGGTGGTGCAGCGGTTAGCGCGCTGCGATACGACCCCTTGGCCCGGGTTCGAGTCCCGCTCACGGCCAACATCAGTGACGATTATCCGAACCCGTTATGGGCCTCCCTTAGGTCGATTCGGCTTCAAATGAGTACCTAGTGCGGTGTGTAAACATCGCCACTGGGGAGACAAAGGCGGCCGGGCGTGGTGCTGGCCACCCACCCCCTTGTGTATCGTGCCGGCCCTCATAGGTGCTACTTGCCAACAGCACTTGCTCAAAGTCTGTTGACAAGCTCCAGGCGTGGTTGAGCGAGACACCGTGAGTCGAGGGGGTGACTCACGGTGGATGTTTGGTGGAGGGAGGCTCTCCTCTCCCACGGCCAGGCACTCCCAGTGGCGCAGGACCCCTCCAGACTCATTCAAGTTGCCCCGTGCGTGTTGGCCTGGTGGACATCCAACGCCGTGGGGGGGAGACAAAGGCGGGCGGCTGGCCACACTACCCCGTGTCGTCCTCGTGTTGTAGTTGTCGTGGCCTCGATAGGCGGCTACATGGCCGGGCGGGAGGGCGTTCGTCGCTTGTTGCAGAGGGTTGCGGTTCGTGTCCGGAGGACCGCCCCGGTTAATACTGCGGGCGTTTCAAGATGCTCCACAGTGGGCGTCAAAGATCCCGTGACACCATTCGAAGACGAGTAGGCCATTGTATGCCGGGGTCGTGGTCCATATTTACCAACTTTGAAAAAGAACCTCACAGGGAAACGGCAGTTGTCGCCCCCTACAGCGAACCCTTAGAAGGTCCCCGTGATTACCCTCGGGCATTTTTTAAAAGACATTTGAGATGGCAAGCCACATATTGATGAGTACATATTTTGCTCAAACAAATGCTGCAAGATGACATTGCTTTACCGAGCGTTTCGCCCGATGGACGTCGAGTATATTTCACATTTAATGGTGAGACAGACCCTTGGCTCTGTGTGATGGATTGCCCACAATCCACTCAGATGAGTAATAATAAATTCTGTCCCATCAGCAACGCACAGCCCACACCGCACAATCCATACACCGCTCCGCTCCTCCCACACACTCGTGCATCGTGCATCGCAATCACTCCACGTACAACACACACTCTAGTGCATCCCAATCACACCACGTACAACACACTCTCTAGTGCATCCCAATCACACCACGTACAACACACTCTCTAGTGCATCCCAATCACACCACGTACAACACACTCTGCAGTACATCGCACGCACGCACGCACGCATCACTATTACTCATTACACTCTCATTACACTCTCCAACACGCATCACAGAGTCGTGCATCGCCATCACTAGCGGATCACAAACACTCCCCAATCACACACACTCCCCAATCACTCACACACCCCAATCACATACACACCCCAATCACACACACACCCCAATCACACACACCCACCCCAATCACACACACCACAATCACACACACACCCCAATAACACACACCCACCCCAATTACACACACACCCCAATCACACACACCCACCCCAATCACACACACACCCCAATCACACACACACCCCAATCACACACACACCCCAATCACACACACCCCAATCACATACACCCCAATCACACACACACACCCCAATCACACACACACACCCCAATCACACACACACACACCCCAATCACACAGACCCCCCAATCACACACACCTCAATCACACACACCTCAATCACAAACACCCCAATCACACACACCCCAATCCCACACACACCCCAATCCCTTCACGCAGACCCCAAACCCTTCACGCAGACGCACACATCTCACACGCACGCCCTGCCGCGAACAGGCGGAGCGATTCGAGCAGTTCTTCATCACACCCACACACGGGCACACAGGCGCACACACTGACAGACACACACAGGCGCACACAGGCGCTCACACCACACACACACACATCTCTACTGCACTCTCACTACAGCCCGCGCTGCGCGTGCACCATCACACACCACGCACCGCCCTTGCTCGCTCCGCGCACATCTCCACCATCATCATCTCCACCATCATCTCCAGCATCATCGTCTCCATCATCTCGCATCGCCATGGCTGCCGCCGCCGCTGCCCTTGCTCCGTGCGCCGGCGAGGAGCGCCGCTCGGTGCTGTCGCTGCTGCGCCAGGCGCAGTGCCGCTACGAGAGCCTCAACATATCGGACGACGTGTTCGGCGAGTCGGGGGACGACGCCACGGACGGGGGCGACAGCAGCGCGGGGAACCCCTTCTACAGCTCCTCCGACAGCTCCTCGGATCACGGCGGAGGCACCGGCGGCGCCACCGCCGTAGCGGCCGCGGTGACGGCCGGGGGAGCCGAGGCGGGCGAGGCGGGCGAGGCAGCGGAGGACGCGGGGCTGTTCTTCAGAAACCCGCTGGCCGAGGAGGGCGAGGAGAGGGGGGGAGATGCCGGCGAGAGGGAGGCGGAGGAGTGCGGAGAGGACGGGTGGAGCAGCTGCCTGCGGGACGCGGCGCCCTTCCCCGACTTCACGGGGAGCTGCGGTGCGTGCGCGCGTGGGGAGCTGCGGTGCGTGGGGAGCTGCGGTGCGTGGGGAGCGCGGGGCACCTGCCGCCGGCACCTGCGCGGCACCTGCGCGGAGCGAGCGGGGGACGGAGGCGAGAGCCGCGCGCGCGCTCGCAGCGGCGATCGCCACGGATAGCCGTGGCCTCAAGGACCGATGTTGAGTTAATGTCGCTATTGTTTATTATTCCAGCAGCAGGGCCATGCCCAGGCACGGCGACATTTGAGTGACTCGGCTAAACCGGGAAGCCGAGAGGCCACGCCCTGCTGATGAGACCCAGTGAAGTGGAAGCCGGTCCCGGCAGCGCTTGCTTGGTTGCTTAAACATGCGAGGTACACGTGACAGTCCGATTCTTAATCCACTGCTGGATGACGGCTTGCCCCCCACGCCGCCTGTGCGGGTCGTGAGGGTTATTTGTCCATACTCCACCACGCTGGTCAGTGCGAGTTGGTGAAGGAGCGGAGCATATGCGTGGATTGTAGCACATGATGTAAGTACCGTACAACATTTGCTTTTTCGGCTCTGCCCTCTGCTATCCGCAACACAGTCCCGTAGCAGCCTATAGCACCTGTGTTTATGCACGCTGTTTTTTTAATTAATGGTGGTCCCTCATTCAAGCGCCGTGCAGGCTTAACCCTGCTTGTCTTGTTGTGTTGGTCGCATTCCGAGTGATCTGGCCATAGACGATGAGTGCTGCTCAAACATTGATCCACGCGGCCATACAGCGAATGATGGATTAAGAAGCTATTTTATTTTACGTGGTTAAACAGACCTGTTTATGATCATTATCTCTGTGTTGCCAACAATGCACTTGGACAATGCAATAATGCTTGTACAATAATATTACAACGATAATAATGATGCCATTTGTCGAGGAAAGCCTCAATGAGCCTCAATACTCGTTTTCAGGAGGTCCCTGTGGATGTTTGACCAATTCGTTTGGAAGTAGCGGTTTGCTTGTGCGAGGAAGCCGGAGTGCCCGGAGTAAACCCGACTCGCACACGCGGTGGGGGGGGGGGGGAAGATACCACCACTCAAATGCCCCCACGGGTTCACGAAGCCTCTCGCTCGCTGTGGGGTCACCTCCCACAAGCCAGGGGGTCCTACGCTGAGGTTTGGGCTGCGCTCACAGGTGATGTGATGGCAGGCGATGTGATGTCGATACAGCAGGTGAATTGACTACATGTATTGTACGGCAGATGTGTGTACAGCCGATGGTGTGATTCCTGTTAACAATACGACTTGCAGGTGATGGGATGGCGATGCTGCAGGTGTTGTGATTTATAATATACAGCGGATGATGCCTGCACAGTATGTGATGTTCATACCGCAGGTGAGGTCTCGATAGCAGGTAATGTGATATAATAAAGAATACACGTGGGATTAACGGCGTCTAAATGCTGCAGGGATCTCAAGACGCAACAGAAAGTAGGACGTTTGCATTGCAGATCATTGCCGGAAACAGGAAGCATATCTACTCTGTAGTAGTGTATTAGCCAAACTGACGGCCATCGTGAGAGGGCTTCATAGGCAGAAGAGAGGAGTAAAGTGTTGAGCCTTCAATTTGAAAAAGGGCAGGAAAGTCGAGACTACGGGGAAGGCAGCAGAGAAGGAGCGACCTCCCATTGAGTGGAGGTTCACCCGGGCTGAGAGAGAAGGGCCTGGTGCTGAAATGGAGAACAGATGGGTAGTAGGGAGAGGCAGTATATGGAGGGTCTTAAATACGGCGAGTGCGATCCTGTAGTTCACTCTCAACTGGGAGATCCGAGAACTTTGGTGCCGTGGTTCCGTGCACGGGTTTGGACGGGGAGAGTTTTGCGGCAGCGTTCTGGACGATTGGCGTTTGGGGGGGAGGTCGTAGAGAAGAAGATTATAGTAGTCCCGGTGAGAGGTAGTGAAGGTCTAAGCAGCGGATGGGATGAGGGAGCGGTGGATACGAGAGATGTTGCAGGAGGTCCTTCAGAGTTGAGAGATTGGAGAGATTTTTGAAGGGAATGAGCGTTCGGCATCAATGATTTGACCCCCCCCCCCCCCTCGTAACACGGCGTCATAAAAAGTCAGACCCCCCTCAAATATGACGTCACAAAGCTCTGCCCCCCCCCAACCATATTTCCATTTTGAAAATAAAACATGCTTCAAATCACTTTAAACTATTGCCATTGCAGTGCGTATTTAATGTGGCGCTGCACTCTGTTGTAGGCGAAAACATTTATTTAAAAGGAGGCGTTGGAAAGCTGAAATTTAGCATAAAATGTACTTGAAAATATTCAACGTCTAACCAAAACTGCAGATGTTCAGAATATTATAATAAAATTATCTTATAATTATCAAATATTAAAAGTAATTATAACTATCAAAAAATTTGTTGAAACTCTGTAGTAGAACAAAGCAAAATGGAGAGTACAATTAAAACATTCACATTCATTTCACAGAATGAAAAGCCCTGGTAGAATCATTAAAATAAAAATGTTTAATAACAATCATTAAACATTTTTACAAAATGTATGCTTCTCCATTCTCCCATGGAGAAGCGAAATGCTCCTTCATGGAATAAATAAAAGGTGACCTTAGTAAATTTTAATAATCAACTAGTTAATAATGAAAATGTATAAAAATTAGTGTTGTTACAATTCTATTGTGTATTTATTTACAGTTGTACATTTTGACGTGACGTCACATTTCTCAAACCCCCCTCGTCACACATGGTCACAAATGTCTGACCCCCCCTCACCCCCCCTAGGTGTGTGACGTCATTTATGGACGGCCCCCAACTCAAAGGTGTAGCACTCGTTTTGCCAACGTGCTGTTGAAGTTTACGAGGTGCATGTTCGAACTGGAGTTTATATTACTGATGAGGTGGATTTCAATTTTGGCAAGATGTCACCGCGTCCCGGTGAGATGCGCGAGTGAGCAGCGGGGTTGGGTTTGTCGAGTGGATGGGAATGTAGCTCTTGGGTGTCACCAGCATAAGTGGTGGGGCTCGGTGTTGCTGATGGAGATGAGTTTGCCAAGAGGAATGAGTTAGATGGAGAACAGCAGGGAGCCCTGTGGCACAGCTCTGCACCTGAATTCTATAGATGGAGACGGTGCTTAAGCGGCAGCATCAAGAGGGCGGCTTGAGAGACGAGACCGGACTCCGGAGGGAAGTGTTCTGAGACGCCTACACCGTATTGGAGGCTCTCTGAGAAAGGATCGGCGCATGTTGTCAAACGCAGCAGTGAGGTCTAGAGGCGAGAAGAGTGATGGAGACCCATTACCAAGAGGCAGGGTCGTTGACTGCAATTAGGAGAGCCGCCTCTGCTGAACGAGCGTGAATGAGCCCAGATCGCATTGGGTCATGGCGACTCTGGGTGATGTGGTGTTTATCCCTCCAGCGGGTAATGTGATGTACAGTACTGTCCTGTACAGCAGGTGATGAGATGTGTTATCTGGCAGCTGATTTCTCATGTTTCTGGCATTTGCCTTCTGTTACAAAGTAACCTTTGGTTGGGGCAGAGATGAATTGTGCACTGTGGCGAAATGCGGGAAGTGGTTATCAGGTACTGTACACGAATGGCCAGGATGTGATGATGTATGGGTGAAACATGGACCCTGATGAAGAACACGTCCAAAGCTTAACGTGCAAAAAACAAATACATGCACTACGCGTTATAGACAAGCACACCGAGCCCAAAGCAAAATGTTTCCAATTGGTTTATATCGCCTGCTATGACATATGAATCGGAATCGTCGGCATTGACAAAAGAACGGTACGAAACCCGAAAAGTGCACAAACAAGTCCAGAGAGATGCACTCTGAGATAAGGGAAGAGGAACGGGTGGATCAGAGAACACAGGCAGGTCAGAGATGTCACCTTGACGGGGTAAACGTGGCCATTTGTGTCGATGCAGGAGGAGACGCGTGTTGATGGATAGCCCAAGTTCCCCGGGTGGTAGACGAGGTGTGCGCCGTTCCCTGATGCTATCCCAGAAGCTATCGCACATTATCGCATGGCGCTTATGACGACGTAACGTTCAATTACCCCATTCGGAAGGACGTAACGAGCACGCGAACAAAATATGGAATAATTATGACCCTGATATGAAATGTAATTAGGCAGTTAGTATCGAGCAGTGGGGCAATTAACCGCACGGCTGAGTTGTGTCCGCTGTGCTGTAAACTCACCGGTGCTCCCTACTGACCACGAGGAAGCAGCCCTTTCAGGAGAGTACCCGTCAATTTACCATCGCAGTCTCATCTCCCTCGCATCACCCCTTCGTGATGTCTCGGCAGCATCACGCCACTGAACCATAGCGGCACTCCCCTCTGTCACCACGACGGTGATGATGGTTGTGCGAGTTCACATTATAATGTATGAATACCAATTATTTCTTATTGATTCGGGTCCTCTTCAGCTGTCTGCCCAAGGTCAGTGCCTGGCTCAAGTTCCCTCTATCCCACCTGATCCCAGACTCGTTCACCTCCCAGCACCGCAACAAGCAAGGATGCTGAAGCAACGCATCAAGCAAGGACGGTTGAGGCGTTTGTTTCATTTCTTTAGACCTACTTTTTGTGTTTTAGGTTTGCCGTCCCTGCTCCACGCCTACGATTGGCACGGTTGGCTATGTACGGTGCGAAAGAAGTTCGACGTACGTACTTAAGACCCCATTTGTTTTCATGCGTCTGGGGATGCGGTTGAATTTGGACGCTGCTTTTATGAATGTAAATCGTAGCGTGTTGTGTACGGAGCTCTACTCCGTAGCAATTACCGTACAGACATTTAAGGAAAAGCCACTGTTGTTTCTTTGAAAAAAACATTCGTGCAAGGTGCAACTCTATGACAAGATGCTGCATTCTTATTTAAATAGTAAATCAACCTTTAATATGTCTTTATATGATTTGATTATATTATATGATTATATGAAGCTATGGATTTCGGGCTAAATTTAGACCAGATGTACAGGTACAGTAATATTCTAACGGAAGCGTTTGTCACCAGGAAGCTGTGTGATTCGTGAATGTTGTAGAGTGTAGCTTTTGACATTACGGTATTCAATAGTAGCTTTAACACAATGCCTGTTGTACAGTGATCTAATCCTGTGGCCAGAATAGATTTTGTATCAGTGTAAGATAATACTGGCTCACAAATAAATGGGATTTCAGCTTGGTGATCTATGATATCACACATTGTATATTCTGAAGAACAGTGACAGACCAACAATACGTGGGAATATCTGAAGTGAATGCTTACAGTATTTAGAAAATGTTATGTAATTAACTCGTAGGTTGTTGCCGCATCCGCAGAAGAGGAATAAGAGAACAGAGTAGGCATCGTCAATCGATTTAAAATGACTCGGTGAGGTGGATATTCCTGACTACACAATTACTTAAACTTCTGTATAAAATACTATAACGTTATTACAGTAATTGGATTAGTAATAGTGTCATGGATAATTCTGAAACTGGATGATATTGTTTACGCAAGCCAATATCTACAACAAGCTGGTGCTTTATTGACACCACACAACTGCCGTACTCGATCGTAATGTACAAAGTTCACGCGACAAGCGGTGATGCCGTTGATCCGGTCACCTGAACAGTGCGCCGTGCGAGTTTGTCACGACCAGCGTGAGATGTGCTCCGTGCTTTCATTGTTTGTGCATTTATGATCGCACACTGGATCGTGTTAAGCGCAGCTTTAACCTTGCGTGTCCAACGTCTGCCAAGCTCATCGACAGCCCAACGCGGCGTGCGAGTCGGAGGCCTGCGATCGCGGATCTCGGCGCCGCTGTCACGCGATGACACTCAGAGCAGCGGTCGTCGTTGTCGCTGCAGGCCCCACGCTGCAGATGCCCGCGTCGGCCACTCCGGCGGACTTCTTCCAGCTGTTCGTGCCTGACGGCCTTCTCAAGATCATGGTTTCCCAGACGAACGCCTACGCTCGCAAGTTCCAGGAGCGCTTCGGGCAGGATCCTGCCTGGCACGAGGTGGACGTCGCTGAGATGCGAGCCTTCCTTGGTGAGAGAGCGCCGTGCAGAGCAGATGACCGTGCCCCCTCCTCGCAGCGCCTTGATGGGGAATTCACTGCCACTGGTGTCAGGAGGACGCAAGGGGATTGAGAACCGGAGATGAGTGGCGTGTTAAGGGACGGTCAAAGTAAGGAGAGGAAGTGTGAAAATGACGAGCTGTGTTTTATCCTGGAGTGTCTGGTCACATCAGGTGTGATGTCATCTGCTCTTCAATTTGCCTACATAGAAGAGCACACCCACACACAAAGGTCCCCCGTGTAGCCTTGACAGACTTTTTGCACAAGTGCTGCTGGCAGTACAAGTACTGCTGGCAGCACTTGTGAACGGCACACGAGGGGGTGGGTGGCTATCACCAGGCCCAGGACCAGTTCAGATGAATCGTCACTGGTGTTGGCCCTGACATCTTCAGTTGTTTAGCGCGCTTTTTGCACATGGCTTAGAGAATGTACCCCAGTTAGACATCACATTGACCCTAAAGAAGGGTGGGGTTTGGGCAGGACGCGTCACGAAAAGGGACGATGGCCAGGGGTCGAGACGAATATTAATAATAATAAGAGTGGCAGCCAGGAGAGGGAATGCGCCAAAGAGGATGCCCACCGTGCAGCGTGTGCGCATGAGCTCGATGTATTGATGCGTCGTGTGACAATGAGAGATTGCAATGGCTTGGGGAGGTCTTCATCCAGCGGCGATGAATAGACCAAGGCGCTGCTGACGGCGATGACGAGTGTGCATGTGCCTGTGCGTAACGCGATCTGGCGCGCGTCGTGGCAGGCGTGGTGGCCTCCACGGCGACACACCACTGCGAGTCGGTGCTCAGCATCTGGGGCGGCGGTTTCTACGGCAACCGCAGCGTGGCGGTGGCCATGACGCGCGTCCGCTTCGAGAAGCTGCTCAAGTACTTTCACGTGGTGGCGTTCCGCTCCGCCCGCGAGGACCTGCCGGGCCTCTACAAGGTGCAGCCCTTCCTCGACTCGCTCAAGTCATCCTTCGAAGCGTCCTTCATGCCCTCCCAGACGCAGGTGCGGTGGGTTTATTGCTCCCCTCGCCGAGCTGACCGCCCCACCGCGCAGATCCGAGTCTCTGGCATCGCTACTTCGCCCGCAGATTCTGTCCAATTGTAAACCAGAGCTTCATCCACAGATCTTCCTTGGTTTCATTGGTCGAATTACTCGTTGATGCTGCTTATCAAGTTTCCGTATGAGGTAGGGGTTTACGGTTAGGGGTTTAGATGTAAGATTGGTGTATATGGTTAGGGGACAGAGCTTGTTATTGGTCAGGGTCTCTGGGTGGCTTCTCTTGCCACACGTCACCCACGGCAGAGGCACTTGAGCTGCTAATGCAGCAGCGGATACAATATTACGGGTCGACTGCATTTCGCACGGCCTGTTCGCGGTCAGCAGAGACATTCCAGCGATATCAACTCGTAAACCACGTTTTTGCTGTGCACGTGCAATATTTGTCACAGAGGATTGACCTTGGCAAGTTGCGGTTTACAGTCACGGTGTGTGCGCGCGCAATTCGGCTACTTGCCGCTCTCTCTCCGAAGGGTTGGCGGCACAAAGCGCGTCCCTGCGCGGCATTCACACACTTTGTGTTGCCGTATTCTCCGGTTTACAAGGTGCCCCAGAAAGCAAGATGCACTCTAAAGCGTATCCAATGTCCATAAACAAACACATCCGGAACATGTACACACATTCAAAATAAACACTTAACACCGCAGGCGGGGGGGGGAGTGCGTCCTATAATCCGTAGAATCCGGTCGGACCAGGCGAGCGTCCTGCAGTCGGTGCTCCAAGCAGCACGAGTTGGGGGGTTCACGAGCCCCCCCCCCCCCGCTGCCCCCCCCCCCCGCTGCCCCCCAGGTGCTGCACGAGCCGCTGATCGAGGAGGACCCCACCTTCCTGGCGGCGTGCACCAGCGGCGGCTGCGCGTCCGAGGGGGGCGAGCGGCGGCGCAGGAAGAAGCGCAAGTTTGGTCTGTGGGTGCGGCAGTGCTCGCAGACGGGGTTCATCTGCCAGGTGCGGCCTCGCCAATGCAGAGGGATGTCGTGGAAACGCACACACGCACGTGTATGTGAAGTTAACGATTCGCTGTGCGCTGTCGTAGAGCACTGAGCGTGCAGCATTAACGGGTGCAGTAGGAAGCAAGCAGGTGTGTTTCCCTGTGTGAGGACAGTCTGGGCCGTCGCCTTCTAGAAGGTTGACAACTTCCAAGAAGGCCCAAACCACATTCCCCTGCAAACGGGGGCAGAGAGACAGGCAGCCACCAATGCCACGAGACAGAATCCAACCAATCCCCCTCCAGAATTCAGACAAATACAGGTGTGCTGCCAAATGTTCAGGGTGAATGCCCTCTGGCTACAATGCTTCCTGTGTTTTTCCCAGGTTCATGGTTCGATTTTCCATCTCGTGTTATTTACACTTTATTTTCGGGAAATATTTGCTTTTGTGACATCACCTTGGTGGATACTGATCTGTATTTCTGGTAAATTTGAAGACAATCATGGGAAGCTATTTCACTCAAAATTACTTCCCTTATTAATATTTCATAATATATGATCAGCGTTGTGTGTGACACTGATTCTATATTACTCATGTCACAATTAATTGATTGGTAGTCTAAAATCAATGTTTACGCTCAAGATACACGGATCGAATTGTGCGTATAGCAGTCGGATAGCGCTGATCAACGCTAACGAAATCGTGCGATATGCTGATGTTACATTTCGGCTAATGAAACAAACCAAACCAAACAAGTAATCCAGAATAAAAATTTAAATAAAACACAAATGAGTCTAATAATGAGATTTTTTTTACAATAAATTATTGAATCGAATCACGACTCCAAATTGTTACAATTTATTGAATGGATACGTGGCCATTTTAACCTCCAGGGCTTTGTCACTTGGCTGTCGCTGTTGGCAGTAAATGAGATGCTCTTTGTCTGATCTGCTCTACCCTGCTCAATTTTCAACTGTGACAAACATGGGTTTGGAATGTGTTCCCAATTTTTGTATTAATTAAAAAAATCCAAAAATGTCGCCGATATGAAATATTTCTAAAATCAGAAAAAAAACTTTCTTTTGGATTTATCCGCATGTATGACTTCTGACAAACTAGAACTTCTTTGTTTCGGCGATTCTGCCAAACGTGGCATCACATGCTACCGGGAGACATCGCTTTTCTTCGCACAAAGACTTGTTCAATTATTGCATAATGTAGGTAATACCAAAACTGCAAAATATTATTTCAGAATGTTTATAATCCGAAACGCGTCCCTAGTACGAGCTGTAAAGTAGTCCGTGTAACGTCGTGAAGTTCAATGCGGTTCACAACTTTGCTCGCCCCTGGCAGATCCACGTGCATCTCAAGGAGAGCAGCGGCAGCGGCTCGGACTGCCTCGACGCCTTCCGCAGCAAGTCCCAGCTGCACGGCCTGGTGGCCAGGAGGCTGTGCCACAGCCTCCCCCCGAACGGCTACGTGATCTTCTGTGGGCCCAGCATCACCAGCCTGCCACTCTTCCAAGAGTTCCAGGAGAAGGGTGCGTCACCCCTCGTCGGGTTTTTCTTCCGATTCCGTCACGATTTTAATTACGTACGTTTACGTCATCGGAGCGGAATGAAATTGATTCCAAATGGAATCGGAAGTAAAAGGCCATGTGGGAGGGCATGTGGCACAGTTTGGCACCAGCTATCATAGATTGGTCGGTTCGCTACAGTTCTCCGAGGTGAGTACAATACAATATCTTTAAAACGAAAGTGTGACGCCTGTCTAAATGAAAATAACACTAACCGCTTGCGCGTTCCGAGATTCAGTGGTGAACAGGATCCACCCTGAAACTTAGACGTCTCGAAATGGGAAATGGTTAAAGATCACTCTTAAAAAATTGTACGGAGGCTACCATTCTGCACCGCTCTGCGTACAGGACGTGCAATCCCAAGGCTGCCGGTTCTATCTCCTGGCGCGGCAGTTAAATCCCCACGCCCCTGTCTACCCAGCGGTGTAACTGGATACGCCAGTCGATCGGCAGGTCACGTGTGGAGGGGTTAAGTGTGGGTTGTCCCCCACCTCTTCTAAGACGTCTGGCCAGCGTAGAAAATAAGGCCAAATACCCTCTAGACGGGCTCTCTAGAACTACCTCTCGTGGAGGTGAGACTACTGACAATTTACCCCACCACACGTGACGTACTAATCGACTAACTGTAGTGTATTCATTACCCTGCTGTGAACCGGGATGGGTGATTTAAAAAAAACTTGCCACCATCGTTTCAACCGCCATGCCGGTAACCTCTGGCTTGCGGTTCCAGTGTGCAAAACAGTCGCACCACCGTGGCAGCCATCCTCCAGATAGTCGCGTGCTAAAAGTAAGTGGGAGCCATGAGCGTGATGTGGGCTGTTGACAATGTGCAGGCATCCACTGCTGCGGCCTGCTGAGCCCACGGAAGAGTGACTGCACGGGATTGCCCCGCACGGCCCTGACGGGGCCGAAGCATCCGCTGGCTCGTGGCCAGCACAGCGCCCTCATCAAGGGCGGCACCTCCTTGCTCTGCTGGTCCAACAAGAGCCTCTTCAGATTCCTAACCAACGCCTACTCGCCGCTCAAGCAAGGTGAGTCCCCAACCAGGGCAGGACGCACACTGAGGCTTGGCAGCCACCGGGATTGCTGGACCGTGATTCTGGATTCGAGTGGGGGCAGTGCGAACTCCGTTTGTGGTCCGTGTGGAATGGGTGATGGGCACGCGCGTGTGGTGCTGGGTATCGTAACGACAGGCGATAGGCAGAGCTGGGGATGTCCTTCCTCGGTGACTGCACCACTGACGTCACATTTTCACGGCGGGTGATGTCAGCGGTAAACATGGTTTGGATCCCTACGGCATTTGGATGCGACCATTCAAAAACAGAATGTGACGACGCTGCTGCCGTGCCGGGACGGTGTTGTCCAGGCACGCCGGATGGCGTCGCCTCTGGCCAGCAGGTTCGCGCGCTGGAGGAAGTGTCCATCGCTCGCGCTGTCCCTCGGCCGCCCGCTCCCTGTTGGCGCGTCCAAGCGATTCACCCAAAGTGCGGGGCACAATGTGAAGCGTGGAGCACGTGGACTGGGCTAGTGACCACTGTTTATTTCGACCGTGTTCGCAACAGCTGCGGGTCGTCCCAGATTGAGTCGCTGCCTAGGCACTGCAGCTGAGCGTGTTGAGCAAGCGCCAGTCGGTGTCCTCTGCCGCCGTCGTGCATTCTCCTCCATAATCCAGGGGTTTTGGGTTGGATTGCATCACCTGTATTATGGGTGATATTGGTCGCGAAAGCCTACGTGCTAAACTGTGCATTTTCCTCTGGGGTTGCAAAGCTGACTATAGCTGTCAATATAGACAGACACTGGCTGACTCTGGAATGGAATGCTGTTGTGGTTTTCGTGCTGTGGACCAGTTTTTCTGGCTGGCGGTCTGGCTTGTGAGCACAACATGTTGGCGTATCTTATTTGGGTAAAATATTCATCTCTCTTATGCATTTTATTTGATTAATTGCTGCATAGCCTGCAAAGATTGAGACGTCTCAAGAAGAGGTGTGTGGCAGTTGTAGTCAACGTAGCGGTGTACTTTCTCATTTTATAACTTGACATGCGTGTTCAATCCACCACTGTGCACGGTCGTAAAGAGCAGGACCACCGTCGGCACCGTATGATGTTTAAACTGATCCTGAGCCACTCCTCGCCACCGAGAGCGGATGGTAAGGGAGTGTTACCTCCTCCCACGCGTGAGTTTTCTCCAAATGCTGCGGTTTCCTCCCACGCGTATAAACGCTCGTCGTTAATTAACTGAAAAAATATTTATTGTATATTTGCACTCTCTGTGTGTGTGGATCGTGCAACGTGGCGAGATGCTGCTTGCAGGAATGACGCAGCGACATATAAACGGTTGTTTTTATAAACACCCCCCCCCCCCATTACCAATACGACGTGGGGAGGCCTTCGTCCAGCGGTGGTTTAATCAGCAGAGCATGTAGATTAATATCTTGTAGATATGATTCATAAGCTGTTAATGTGTTTGAGGTTCACGAGGGGGAGCGGTGAGGTCCGATCAGTCGTCGGCATGGCCCCACCCAGCAGCAGCCGCGTGGCTCCACCCCAGCGCTTGGGGCCAGGACAGCGTCTCGATGCAACCGCGTCTCAAGATGCTTTGCAAAGGAGAAAACAATCTAGACACACAGTATATATACAGTAGAAATACTGTGTGTGTTTCCTTGTCAGGCCACAGTATCGAGTTGTTGTTATTGTTTGTTCCTGTGCACCGCTGCCAACGCAGCAGCGTCGCCAGTTTGTTTAGTTTATTGAAATCATGAATGACGTCTTCTTGGTTCTTTCGGTAAAGTTACGTGACTTTACCGAAAGAACCAAGAAGATGAATCCCTGCAGTCACGAAAGCTTTAAATCGAAATCATGAATGACGCTTAAAACTCATGACAGGCAGCCCAGCTTCATGCGTCAACAAGAGTTTTACACGTTTTGGGTTGTGTGCTCCTCTGAATCGATTTACCCAACCATACCACTAAACATGTGCAGGGCCTTGGGATCCAACAGCAGACCCCTGCGTGTGTCTCCTCTGCCAGGAGCCATCATCAAGCGCAAGGGTGGACACCTGATGGAGGTGGCTTGCCCACAGGCTGTGGAAGCCTTCGCCGCTCACCTGGGCTACATCTGTAAATACGACGACAAATACAGCCGGTAGGAGCGTGACCCCAACACGCGCACACACTCGCATCGTCGTCATCTCAAACCCATCACGGTAGCACCCTCTGGAGAGCTTCTAAAGGGCCCCCTTTAGCCGAGGCCTCTCCGCGAGCAAGCAACTGGGGGGCCGCACTTTCACCCTTTGCGTTCTCTCGGCGCAGCGATGCTCACCACGCGTCGTTCGTGTGTCTCTACGCGCAAAGGTACTTCATATCGCACAAGCCCAACAAGACGTGGCAGCAGGTGTTCTGGCTGGCGCTCAGCATCGCCATCAACAACGCCTACATCCTCTACAAGCTGTCCCCCGCCTACCAGGCGCAGCGCTACAGCCGCGCGCAGTTCGGCGAGCGGCTCGTGCAGCAGCTGCTGCGCCTCCCGGAGGCCAACGGCCCTGCCACGGCCTCCCCGGGCACAGAAGACGCTCCGGGGAGTACGGCCGCTCCGGGGAGTACGGCCGCTCCGTAGACCGGCGGCCCTCTCCGAGGGATGCAAAGTCCTATGGACTATTTTCGGTTTACCAGTGCTTACTTGTCTTATTCTCCTGGGATTAAAAGCGAACGTAAAAAAAATGTCCGCCGCCGCTTGGGTGGCACGTGCGGCGCTGTGCGGAGCGCGGAGTCTTTGTCGCTCTGCCGCGTCTGGGATGCAACACTTAACGGGCAGAGAAGTTATCGCCAGGTTTACAATGATCCCATGCCACGTGCGACTGACAGGGAGCTCGTTCTCTCGAGTTGTCTCCTGTTCTCTCGTGTTGTCTTGCATATCCAACTCTTTATCGCGTGCTCTGCGGTTCTCTGAATTCCCATTCTGGGTCCCAAAGACAGTTCGGCTCTGGGTGGAACCAGCGGCCGTGTGTTTGTGTAGTGCTTGAAAACTCGTCTGAGAGGTTTTTAGTAGAGGCTGGATATAAGCACACCCCTCGGGTGGCAAGGCCACGTGTGCTTATATCCAACATAGTGTGCTTGTATCAGATGTCGTTCCCCACCTGCACCTCATCAGTGTAACGTAAGGATGTCTTTATTTATTTACACTTGTGAATATTATGGTCCATGTTACCCAGGAAAGCCTCACTGAGTCTCAAGACTCCAGGAGGGTCCTGCCAAGTTTGCACAGTAGAGAGGCGATGTTGTTTCTGTGTGTGATCCCAATGGAGTAATGTGCAGGTAATTGTTCAGCATTGGGATGTTTGGCCAATACCGGTGGCATTGTGTGGTTTCTTTTCGGCGATTGAAGGAAACCGGAGAACCCAGAGAGGGGATACCCAATGTAGAAACGAGGGAGAAAATACAAACTCCACGCAGAAAGCTACCAGGGTCAGAAATGTAACCCAGGCCCTCCTTGCTGTGAGGCACGAACGTTACCACTGCCACTATGCTGCCCTTATACAGCAGCAGAATTGTGTTTTATATCAACCGTCTACTGGATTGATAAATAATGTTTTTGTTATTATTTCAATTTTTTTTTTATTACAAAAATAACTCTGACATTTGAACATCCATTGCTGGATGAGGCCCTCACTATGCCGTTTCGGTGACGAGGTTTCTTTGGCCATACTTTACCACGCCGGTTGGCGCAGTGCATTGAAGTGGCCAGGTGTTTGCGTGGTGCGCTAACCGCTGGCCCACTGCTCCCCACGCGATTATATTTCTTTAGGCAATTGACGCAAAATCTCAAGTTGAGGAAGTACGTTGGTTCTGTGAGCACGGCAGGAGCGTAAGACGTCACGGCGGCCGGCAAACCCGATGATCACCTTTGCATGCCGAGTCTACGGCGCATGGCACGGATAGACGCAATACGCACACGATGCGCCACACGTGGTACGGTCTGGTGGTAATCGTGGACGACTGCACGAGAGGGCTGCTGGCGAGTGGGTGCGCGCGCGTGCGTGCGCGTGTAGGGATTGTATTCCTGTGGGGCTGGGCTCTCCCACTTTTTTTCAAGTAATCGATGACTGAATTATTGGTCCGATTATAAATCGGATAAAATTCTAAATATTGGGTTTCCACTTTTCTTCTTTTCTAAGTGGAAAATGCTCCCTTAACTCGTCTACAGTAACGTCAAAAGCACCACTCTTCCATGTCAGAAAACGCCTTGCCTTGAGATTCTAGTGTGTGTGTGACTAGTGAGCGTGTGAGATTCTAGTGTGTGTTGTACACAAAGATACTCGCTAACAGCACTTACCCTAACAGCCTGTTACGGCTATGCGGGGGATCTTTGTCTTTACGCATTGGCGTGATCCCTACACTGCGGTCATCTAGACCTTGGTCTCCACCGCGCGCTGTGGCTCTGCCTCGTGGTGTCACCGCGGGCCTCTCCCTGAGTGAGAGGCCGGGCAGCGCAGTCATCCGGGGCGGGGGGAGGAGGGGGGGCGACTCTGCCCCCCCATGCCACCACGCGGTGTCTGCAGGGCGCTCCGAAGCGATTGTCGGCCGTGACGTGCTCACCGTGGTTCTGCGGCTCACAGGTGATGTCATTGTCCCTGCAAGTCCGAAATTTGAACATTAACCTCAAAATGAAATTGTCAACATGAATAACTGCCACTAAAGAACTCTACATAATTACGTGTAAGCTTGCAAACATGGTCGTTAATTTCTTAACGGGCTCTTCTCACCTCGTTAACTATGAGACCATTCATCACCAAGGCTGGCCTGAGGTGTCGCTCCTCTCACGGTCTCGGGAGGCAGCAGCAGCAGTCCGTGCAGTGCCTGCGCCTCAGCCGGTCTCATCATCATCATCATCTCCCCATGGCGGATGATGAATCCAGACTCACCGATACTCAGCACTCCCCTTCTGTATGTATGTTGAACTTCTTTCGCACCGTACGTAGCCAACCGTGATAGTCAGAGATGCAGGGGAAGCACAACAAACGAAACACGAAAAGCAGTTTTAAAACGAATTTCTTTAGATCTAGATTTAAAAGTGCTGCTAATTTCACGGATTTGTTTACGCATCTTTAAGTCTGTTGTTTTAATTCCTACAAGTGCCCAGTGCCATGGTTTTCAATTCGAAGATAAAACATTTAGATTTTTAAATGAAAATATGTGTATCCTATACCGCGTGATTTCAAAAAAACATCTCTGTTGTAAATTGTCCTCGAGTGGTGACCGTGCTCGTAACGTCCTCTGTGGAAGGGGGTGGCACGGCTCGTGCTGGAGTGCCACCCTCGCTCGCTCCGCTTGGACGCAGACGCACTGGAAGCCGCGCCTGGCCCCCTCGCGGCAGAAGCGACGACGTCCCCTGCCTGGCGCGCCACGGCACAGCCAGACAGAGACCGCCGCTCCACACGTGACCACCACGTTACAAATGACAAAACTCGCCACATTCATCATTACTGCTGTATCATATAACACAAATGAGGTGTAGGGTAGTGGCACAGCGGTTAGCGCACCGCACGACGAACCCACTGGCCTGGGTAGGAGCCCCTGCCGCTGCTCCCACAGGTGGCGAGTCATCGCTCACACCCCCTTCACCAATCCACGTTGACCAGCATGGTGAAGTATGGTCAGTCACCCCCTACCCCTCAATCACACGAAGTGGGGAGGTCTTTATCCAGCAGTGGATTGACAAAAGGCTGTGAACTTATTTCCATCATCATGATAAAATAATGTTGATATCCTCAAGTGTTGGGTAGTTGCTTTTATTTGGTGTAGAACGGCAGGGACATTGCCCCAAGCAGTTACTGATGTATATCGCGAAATGTAATATGTTCACGACTGCCAATGCAGTTCCCTTAAGGATGTTTTTGTGTAATGTAGAGCATTTCAATATCGGGGCACGAGATGAGAAAGTGTGGAGATGAGATGATGAGTAACCACGAGACCCCAAGCAGGCTCCGCAGGCGAGGGGACATTCGTCTGTGCATGTGCGCGTGTCTCAGCGAGTCGCTACTTGTCCTGCTGACGACGGTTTTGCGCTCGTCGGCGAGGCTCGGTGTGGGAATCCGAGATGGGCACCGCGCGTTGTCCTGGCGCCAACCCCGAGGGAGGTGGCTCCGTCGTGCGCCCAAGACGTCTCGAGAGACGCTCGCAGCAGCGGCGGCGGCGGCGGCCCGTGTCGCCGCAATACCGGAGCTTGGTTCGTCGTCCACACTCGGTGTGTGTGTGTGTGTTGCCGTGCGTCGCCGCACACTTTGTTAGTGAACCGCACATGTATTTTGCACTTTATGTTACGCACGTGTAACATGTTACAACGTGTCCGTTGGCTCGCGCTCTTCCAATGTTATAGCCATGGCTACCAAAGTAAGCTCAATGTCGGTGTTTGTCACGAAAAGAGCACATGAATCATTGCTGCCGGGGGTTGCTTCAATTGCGAGCATCTCCCTGTGCGGTTGTGGCCTTGGCAATGCAACCTGAGTGCTGATTGTGCTGATCCAAACACAAATCTCTCCATTGGTAACAGCAGGGAGAGAGAGATCACCTGGCGGGGAATTGTCCACCACGACGCTGGCAGTGACCCACGAGCGAGTCGGTCAGCCTCTAGTCGTGAAAGTGAATAGTGAATGCGGTGCGTCGCATTAGATCGTCGTTGTTATTATCCACAAGCAGTTGGAGTCAATTCTGTTCGGTTTTGTGACTTTTACATCTCCGACGTGATCACTCCAAACTTAGTCTTTACCCAACATGCACTTTACTATTTTAACAATGTTGCATCAATTGACACATTAATTTGGTGTGTGTGTATATGTAAGCCTTGCTCACTACGGAGATATTCTTTGGGTCTTTCGGTAAAGTCACGTAGATAGGTTGAAAGAAAATAACAAAAAAAAACTACGATTCCATCACAACTCAAGCGGTCGTCATGAAGAGGAAACACGATCGCTTGTGGCGATCGCAACGTAGTAGTTTATTTATTTATTAATTTGTACCTATCTACGTGACTTAACCGAAAGGCCCAAAGAGTATACGGAGATATCGTTAGTTTTGCCATCTTGTTCAAGAGCTGCAGACAGGAATTAAACGTGGCTCTAGTTTTATTCTGCTGTTCCACTCTTAAGGAAAACTCGCCTTTAGCCCGTCCAAGGACGGCTGCATTGCAGCAAATGTGAAACTTGCAAGCGAAAATCAGACCACGACTTGATATTCATTGCATCCATTCGTGTGCAATTTGTAAGGGCGCGGTGACAGACTTCATTCATTTAAAGGTTATAATCCCTTGTTCACCACGACGTCCTTTTTACTTTGATGTCTCAACAACAGCGTGACGGAGATCGCGTGACGTGAGGGTTCTGCCTTTGTAGTGAGGGTTGTGAGTGACGCCGAGGGGGGGGCGCCTCGGCCCCCCATGTGGAGTGACGTCACCCGCTAATTATTATGAATGGGGGGCGTGTCCATTGGAAAGACGTCACCTCTTCATGATTATTAATGATGGGGGGGGGGGTCTCCATGTGGCGTGACGTCACTCGCTCGTGATTATTAACGAGGGGCGGGTCCATGTGGAGGACGTGACCTGTGCATGATTATTAATGAGGGGGGCTGGTGGAGTGACGTCAGCCGCGTTACACACTGACGCTCTTGGGGTAAATATCGTAGTGAAGTAAGGACTCCTCGGCACTGGCGCACTTTCACGAGACCAGACACGGAGCACTCGAACGGCGTCGCTGTCGATCCGCCAAGCCGCAGAGACGCAGCACAACGCGCGGCGTCCTGCCTAGTCAGTGGCTTCAGCTGCTTCCCTCGACTCTGGCGGCCTTGGCCCAGAGTGCAGCTTGCAGAGGGGCCAGTGAACTGCTTTGCTTTCGCTGGTGCCTGCCACGTCGCTGTACCGTGCCAAGTCGCCGATTGATGTCTGTTGCCACGGGGCGCGGTGTCTGTCAGACCGCGCTCGCCGCAGTCTCTTCCGTCAGTGGCGCTCTTTGACTTCCCCCTTCACAAGAGAGTGACGCAGGCGTCTACCCACGGGGGGTGGTGTTCAGTTCGTCTGTGGGTTGAACGCAGCGCTCGCCGGAGACTGCGGGTGAGAGGAAAACCAGACATTGGCAGTCGACTCAAATGCGGAGCAACGTTGCCCCCCCCCCCCCCCCCTGTGGCCGTGTTCGCCCAACTCGTAGCGCGCTCTCCGTGCGCAGTCCTCGGGACCTCGACCCCGCGCCAGTCGGTTCCTGTCCCCCCCCCCCCCCCCCGACTCCAGAATCAGGGAACGGAGTGCGGTTTGAAGATCTCCCCACGCCCACCCCTCGCTGCGACGGTGGCCAAGCACGTCGCTTGTTCCACCGCCGCCGCGTATCCGCCATGACCAGTTAACCGCCCATGGCACAACCGCAGTTGTTCTCTACAGATGTTCACATATCCGCCGATACCTCAGACCGCAGCGGGGCGGACCCGCGACGTTGTGCGGTGTTGGTACAGGCGAGCGCGGCGCTGCACGTGAATAACAATAATGATGATGATCATGATGATGATCATGATGATGATGATCAATCCCTGCCGCGAGATTCGAGTGGGAACCGCTCTCCACGTGCAGCGAGTTCAGCTCGCACCGACGTCGATTGCCGTGCGTGGATCTCGCTGGCGCGACTCGGTTCTTCGCGGTCGCGGCAACTGGTCGTTCCGCGTGGTCGGGACATGCCGGAAAGCGTGCAACGCTCTCGTTGTGTGCCTGGACACGCTGCGCAGAATCGAAGGCTCACGGCATTATGCATCGGCTATGCAATTGGTTAAAACGACAAGCGCACGAGTGTGGCTATGGGGGAGGGGGGCTATAGAAACAGACGCACGCCCGGAGCAACCCCGACAGGTTCCCAACGTGGCGATCGCCTGCTCGTTACCTCCACGAGCCGCGTCACCTTCGCGAATCCGTCTTTGTACAGCACCGTAGCGGGTAGTGATCGGTTGTGAAGCATTCCATGTGTAGGGGTCGGTGTAGAGTCGCGTCCTGCCCATCGGTGGCTTGGTGGCTGGTGCTGACCGCTGTCGCTGTGAGTGTGCCTGTGTTTGCATGCTTTGTGTAAATGTTGTCGTTTGTTAAAAGGCAGCGAGTTTCCGCAACCACTGCACAGACGTCACGGTGCAGCTCCCTGAGATTGCGAACGTGGGATTTGCATTGCTTGCTGTCGATCGTGAAATCTCGGCTGATGTGGGAATCTATCCCATGAGAATCTTGCTCATGGGAATCTAGCTGATGGAAATCTATCCCATGAGAACCTATCCCATTCCAATGGTCTGGCTGCAGCCATGAAAGAGAAACCACGGTCTTGTGCGCCGAGTGCGGAGTGGGAGCGAGGCCCTCCGTGCGGTCTCCAACGCCACACGCGCAGGGAACGAGCGAACGTTGCCCGTGTCGAACCGCGCGGCGACGCTCACTCGGACCGCCGGGGGAGAGCCGTGACAACGGTGACCGCCTGTGGGGGTGGAGGCGGGGACGAGAGGTCCATGTTGCCAAGCCACGCGACCCACCACTCCACGGGTCTTGCATGCAGCGGTCGTCGTCTTGTGCAATAATGGCTCTGTCGGTGTGGCAGGGCTGCCGGGGCAGTGATCAAGCCATATACTCAATCCATGTATCGTGGCACACACTTGGTGATCCCCACAACCACGTGGGGACTGGAGGCAGTGGTTCTCGGTTTCATCTCCACCACCACCATGCCCCACAGCCGTCAGTCCAGCTTCGCAAGTCAAACAATTAAGCGGCCCGTTCGATATTTACTGCCCAGTTCACGTTGATGACTGATATACGTGTGGGTCATGTTCGATTATATGAAACGTTTGTGAAGGATGGCGAGGACTCGGGTCATAACTGTTACTTTAAGAGATGGGAAGGTTTTAGTCTCTCTGTGGACTAAAACACAACATGTTGGTGTAAGTCAATCAACAGAGATATATCATTCACTATCATTCTTTACAAGTAAACGGACAATGTTGTTAGAACATTTTGGTTATTTGCAGCTTGTGAGAGCTGTCGTTGGCCAGTCCTATTTTAAGATAAAGCTCCTCGTACACAGTAGTTACCAGGCTCCACGTTTATGGAGCACGGCGATCTCGTAAACGCAGGCAGGCATGATTCAGAAAATTATGATTGCAATATGAACTGCGCATTTTCAATTACCCGAGTCACTTATGAAGCAGATGTTCACAATGACATAAACTAGCAATGTCTGGTTTGGCAATATCTGCACTCGCCATAACAGAGTTCGCTACACATGACGCAGTAAACTCTGAGTGTTTTTGCAAGCGAAGCGTTTTTTCAGACTCCTCACGTTTCTGACCCTTCTGTCTTCACACGTGCCAGGGACTCGTGCCATGTAGCTGCGGGCACCCGTGCACGCGTGCCATGTAGCTGCGGGTACCCGTGCACGCGTGCATCTCCCACTCGGTAAACGTACTGATGTCCGCCGGCGTGGTGTAGGTGTGAACGACTGCTGTGTTTTCCAGCCCTTGTGCAAGTGTGTGCCACTGTAATTACATGGAGCTGTCCAGTGCTGTAACTGCTGAAATGTGAAATCATGCCTCCGATGAATAAAATGTAATTTGGATGTTGAGGTGTTGGTGACGGGTTCTAATTTGCTGTTTTGAGAGATTGAGCCTGAAACTGAGTCCCTGATCACAAACGTTTGCCCGTGGAATAGAAAAGCATGGGCTGAAATCACATAATAAGATTAATCGCATGATCGTGGGATAGAATCCCATAATCGTGGGTGTAATCCGATAAAACTGTTCTTAGGCTGCTATCCTCCCAAATTTCATTGATTCTATGGCAGTATTGTGAAATTCCATCGTCTCTGTGCTCTGAATGGCCATTGATTAGGGCATCAGCTGATTGCGAATTATTCCACGAGAAGGCAGTATGGATGATTACACTGGGTAAGTATTTTCACATTTATATAATTGAAAAATGTTTGCAACAAAACCAAGGCACGCAATTATTTTGATATGACAAAACCGTAGCTAGACTCACTGCTAACATTACTACACTCTGCTACGATGTACGCACTGTGCTGTAGTCAATATTTACGCAGTTATTTGCTAATTATTCAATTACATTAAACTCAAACGTGTTTTCGAGCTCAAAGAAGCAATGGTAACCAATTTCTGTCCATACGCTGGTCTCATTCACGATATCTACTTATTATCAAAATATTGTACAAGCAAGCATAATTATACTGTACATACTGAAAGTGTCACAGTAGTTCAGTCATCTTTCATAGATGACACATCGTAAATATATATTTCCAATAAAACCAGTACATGGACACATCAGCATTACTACATGCATTGCTTGGTGCTAAAATTGCACGAATTTTACATCAATCATAGCAGATGCTTGTGTTTGTTTTGCAACATTAACCCTTTGGTTAACAGACAAGCCAGTTAATCCTGTTCATTTAATTCGGGACAAAGCTTGATTAAAACCTCTTCACACTACTGCTAGCATATCACGCAACCTTTAACTCACAAAATGAACATTCAACTCGCCCAGTTTTGTAACCGGTCCATTCTTAGGCACTGAGATGCCATCAAGGGCTATTGAACAGCTCGTCTTTCAAGAAACCTTGTGCCCGTACCAATCCGCTTTTAATGGAGGAGTCCCTTGTTCAGGAGGATGAGTAGAGTACCGTATCAACCGATGACATTTCTGGCGCGTGTCAGGGCTCCTCCACCCTTCCTCCCCTTTAGGGTACCCCTACCTCGGGGGTTCTAAACTGGGGCCCACGGACCCCCACAACCGTAAAATAGCGGTGGTTCCAGCATCAAGAGATGCCACCATAGCCACGACCATTGATGCTACCTCCATCTCCTTGCTACCAATTAATTCTCTCCTCCACCAGATCCCGCAGCTTGCTGCACAGGCGACATGCATCGAACCTCCAAGATCTGTCCTGGCAGCCGGCCACCATCTGGAGGTGCAGGAGGGCAGCAGCAGTGTCTGCAGTCTGGGGTCCACAGTCAGCAGGCTGCAGTGACGGCACCGGACCCCAACGCACTTCTGGGAGTGTCGCTCGAGCAAGTTACACAAGGAGCGAGTTACACGGGGAGCAGGTCACATGGGGGCCACGGGGATCAGGCCCCTGAGCAATACTTTTTCCCTTTCAGCTTGGCATTAGTATAAATTGAAAACAAAGGGGAAAGAAGTGCCATTGCCCTAATGCGGCACTGAAAAGGGGTCATCTGTATGAACAAGAACACGGTTCTACCGCTGGTCAGTTAGCGCTATGGTCGTGCTGCTGTAGATACGATGACTTAAGAGGAGTGGGTCGAGACTGACGGCAAAGCGACAACCAAAGGAGGGAGCGTGCCTCAGAAGAGCGTCCACTATGGAGACGGAGCGATGGGATCATCTCACGTGCAGGAGCTCGGTCGCATCGCAAGGCCGTGAGAGATGGCGACGGCTTGGGAAGGCCTTCGTCCGGCAGTGGATGGAACCCGGCTGATGATTAGAATGGTGATTGTTAGAGACTCACAGGAAGCTTAATGGACCCCTCCCATAGCCTGAAGGCAGGATAGACAACATCTGTGAACTTGGTTTTAAAAGAATAGAGGGGAATCATCTGAGGAAAAACAATGTGGAAGGACAGAATCCCCTCTTCAAAGTCCAGGAAGACTCCGACCCTCTGCGGCTCCTCATCGATGACGAGGGGCACCCTCTGGTTGTCGTGGAAGCACCAGTACTCCACGTCGAAGCGCTTGAGGCACCAGGACATCTTGTTGCGGCCCAGGCTGCAGGCGTCGTCACTGCCCTTGCGGCTCATGGAGCCGTACGCGGCGCCCACCCACCAGCCCCGGCCGGCGCCGCGCACGTCCACCTCCCAGTAGTGGCGCCCCGAGAAGAAGCCCTGGGCGCACAGCACCTGCATGACGCTCTCGAAGCGCTCGGCGCCGCGGTCGCAGAACCAGCGGAAGCGGCCGCACGACGCCATCTTGTTGTCGGGGGTGACCGTCAGGTTGGGGTGAGCAGTCCGCGGGTTCAGCTTCACCTCCGTGATGACTGCAGGAGGGGGGGGGGGGGCGTGGAATATCGATAGTCATTACATCACGGCAGTGTTCTTCACCACTTTCGACGACAACATATCATCGGTGTAACGGCCACCACACATTTGAAACCATTGGGTTTGACAGTACGATAACGAGGGTGTTCTCTCATGTGTGTATTGTCGAGGGCCGCACTAAAAGCTACCAGGGGCCGCCAGTGGCCCGTGGCCTTTGCAATGAACAACATTCTCTACGGGGATTGTGTCGCACCGCAAAACGTAATCAGTTATCACAAACGCAATGCAGCAGAAGCTGCATATTAGCACCGTAGACCAACTGTGCTCATTGGGAGGTTGCTCCTTTTCCTGTGCTGACCCTGTTTTCTGGAATTCTATTTCCTCAGCCATTCCCTGCTCTCGACTTCCTGCCCCTGTTCAATTCCAGGATTGAGACCATCCCCTTCTCGTCTGCTTCAGACTGACTCATGTATAATACAGTATGTATAAACCTATATTTGCCTGTGGTAAATGCATCTCACTGTATAGCTTTTTGACATGCAGTCCCATACCAACGTAAACATGCGATGTGTGACAAGCGTAAAGGAAGATGAGACCAACAGCTCGAGCATCGTTCGTTTCCGCACCGAGGCCGCGTGTCCTGCGCTGGTTGAGGCTTCGTACGCAACGTGAGGAACCAGACTGACGGGCACGGCCTGGCAGCCATCGCCGTGGTGATGCCGTAACTCAACAACGACAGCGATGGCGCCGCCAACTCACTCCGGCGTGGCTCGCAGCCACCGCGACGTCTGCATCGGCTCATGCAAGAAACCTCCAACTGGCGGCGCATGGGGCAGCCCGGAGGTGTGCTACAACACGCTGTTCGGTACACGCAGCAGTAACACGCGCGACCCTCCTTTAAATCCACTCGTATAGAATACTCTCGAATCGGGCGTTGAGGCTGTCGACGACACCGTCCTCCATAACCTCCTCGTCCCAGTTGGTCTTGGTCGATGACGATCTCATCAACAACCTGATGAAGTTCGTCATTGCTGTCGTCCTCGGACGAGCAATAAGCTATAAGATTCTGCGCCGCTCCGGCCTGGTTAAACGGGACCTTCAGGCAGCCGGCCGCGATCCACGAGCGCAAGAACATGCTGGCGAGCTTGGCGATCTCGGCCTCGTGGTGGTACGACTGTCGGACGACCTTGTTGCGCCTGATATTGACGAGCACCTTGCGCAGTTCGGCGTTGGTCGATTTGTTCAGTTTGAGAACTTGGACGACGCCGATCTGGACCGAATGATCCACGCAGCGAATATGGTGGCAAACCCGCAACTGCTCATATCCGGCGTCCGCGTTGACCAGGGCGAACAACGTCTTGACAGCACCGATCGCATTGGAGCCATTGTTGCTGGTGACAGCGAGCAGCTTGGTCGAGACATTGTGCCCGAGGCTTTGGAGGTGCTCAAACAGAGCGGTGCCAATGCACTTGCCGACACGCCTTCCGGACTGCGCATCGAGGATTGTCAGCAGCATGGATTTCGACCCACCAGATTTGGTGTCGATCCAGTGCACCGTGACCATCCAAAATCCCTTCAGGTTGCAGTTCGACCGCCTGACGATGGGCAGCGTGATGGCGTGATGCTCGACAATCCTACGAATGACGGTGCGGGTCGACGGGTCCTCGTATCGCTGCGTCAATGTGCTGACCAAGGTCTTGAACTTGTTGCTGCCGGCGGCTCGCAAAGAGATTCGCACCTTGGATAACAAAATCAACAACCGCGTTCGCAAAGTTTACCAGGAGGCGATCCGGGATTGCTGGCCATCTTAGCGCTTGCCGCATTAGGCGGCTTGCCGATGCCGACGTCCTGACTTCGCTGCCTGGGGCGAGCACGTTGTGCTTCTTGAGGTGGGCTTTCCACCCCGACGCGTTCGTGTGGGAGGAAAACCACTTGTGGCAGTGCGTGCTGCACACGGGGATCACCCTCCATCCAATCGTGCGTGTGCTCCCTCGGGAACGCATGCCGCTGCCTCTTTCGATTGCTGTTCGCAGCGATCCCGGAAATGCCGTTGCTGGCATCCTCGACCTCGTCCTCTACCTCAAGAACGTGGTCCTTCTCCATCTGGTCCGACATCAATGATTCCAATTTGAAATGGAGGCCACAGACTGCGCAACGGAGCTATTAGCGAGCGGTAAACAAGGTATTTACCAGGTAATACTTCGCTACCTTTACCCTACCCTTTACCTTACCCCTTGCCATGGTCGACACCTTTACCTTTACCCTTTTACCCCGTAAAAATGGTAAGTTACCTTACCTTGCCGAGGCCTACTTTGACCATACTTCACGACGTTGGTGAGCGCAGATTGATAAAGGGTTGGGGGCGGGGTGGAGGGGACCCAGAGCCGTTTCACGGTCGGGGAAGACGTGGGGGGGGCATCGAGCTTGTTTGGGAGTAGAGGAGACGAGTACTGTACAACGACGATTGTTTTTCTTGCACTGCCCTCTGCTGCCCACAATAGGGCCCTGCGCCATTCACGTCCGTAACTCTACGAGGGAGCGGCAGGGGAATCAATGGGGTCTCTCACACTGCAGGTATCTCTGGCGGTTGGTGGTGGCGGCGGCGGCAGCGGCGGCAGGCGGCTCGCAGTCGCCGGTCGAATGAGCTCTCCCCACCGCCACCCTGGTCGGACGCGCCCCATGGCCGGGCCTCGTCGTCCGTGCCGGTTTACACGAGGATGCTTGAGCTGTCAAGAAACAATGGACGGTTGTAAGGTGTCACCTTCCCGCCGCTGCGTCCGCTCAATGCCTGTGCGTATGAAAAGGCTTCTTAATGTCCACTGTGCGCTTCGTGACGGTGCAGGAGATGCAGGGGTAGCGCTTACCGAACTGGGGCACCTGCTGCGCCGAACTTGCTTGCGGCTCTGCACGACACAACGCAGAGCATTCACGTCACGCAATTCCTGGTTGGCCACACAAACATTGCTGGAGATAATATTCAACTTGGGGTGCGGGTTAGGTGTCCAAGCTAACTCAGCCATGTTCAGTCTGGTTCGAATCGCAGCTGATTTGAATCGCACTAAGTATACTCTGATCGCACACATACTCCGGCTTTTCTCTGTTAATTTCTGTCGCAGTAAAAATACTTTGTAAAGTATTTTCAAAACCAACCTCTTAAAGTAATGCCACTCAGGCAATTCTGCGAGTGAAAAATTTCCCGGTTTCCTGGGAACACCAACCATGTGTGCGTGAACTACAAACGTGCCTCTTATCCGTCATCTGCAAATCCTGTTGTCCATGGGGCTATGATTTAGCAATCCTTGCCATCAGCCACCTGAACACTGGCTCCAGATAAGCTGCGTACTGGGCGTTTATGTTAAATAATTATTATTTATGGTATTATAATTTAATTTATCTCAGCAGAGTTACAGCGGTCAGAACAAACTTCTGGATTGGCCCTCATTACCAAAGGGACAAATAATCCCCGTGAATTTCATCCCGTTTAAGGATTTTACATTTATTTGAAAATAAAGGCTAAACTCTCACGTCTGCATTTCCTGATCACAATGGCAAGGTAAATAATTCAATGGAATCGTTTAACATATTTAATTTTTAAAAAACTAGCGATTTCAGCATCTGCACTGCCGCAGACCTCTGCTGGGTGGGTGTCTCTGTCCGTGGCTGGGGTGGCTGACGTGGTGCCCACAAAACGCCTCCAAGTGATCCACCGCCTCCAGAATTTTCTGCAGCTTCACACTCTCCAGGGAGAAACGCTGCACCTCCAGATCCTCCGCTTCCGGGGGCATCGCGTCGCCAAAGTCCTGCACGGTGACACGAATCGTTTCACATTCGGTTCTATTTTCCTCATTATTGTCCATGTTAATAATACAAATAACAAAACCACGAACATTATGTACCCAGTGAACAGAGGTCAATTTCTGGCCATGGTTCGGCTCAGTGGCATGTGATTTCTGTATGTGCCCTGAAACGTCCCCTTCATGAATCCGCACTAACTGGCATGGTCAAGTATGGTTGGTCAATCACCCCGTAAACGACATGGCAAAGGGATGACTTCATCCAGCAGTGGATTGTCACATGGCTGAACATCATTTTTTATTCAAGTCGATACTACATTCAGCTCAAGCAGACATGGGAAACAAAGGGGTAATTGAGCTTCCATATTGAGGTTGTTAATTCTATAGATTTTTGTAAATGTATACTTGGTGAATTTGAATATTTCATTTTGTGTACATGTTTGTTTTACTAAAGTGTTGACATATTCATGACCACACAGGTAAAAGTTGCTGTGAAGTTCAAGTTGTTAACTTTGACGTACCTCGATGCTGGCCAGATTCCAAATGTTGATGTTGGCCAGCGCATCCAACATCTTCTTCCTTAGTTCGGATATCTCTGCATTTTGTGCCGTCAGTTTCTTGAGCTCCTTGTCAACTCTTAGTTGGGTTATTTGCTTCTCCATGTCAATAGCCTTCGTGGTGCATCTCTCATAGTCCTCCAGTACCTTCTGCAGGCCTTGAAACTGCACTGACAGCTTACCGTGGAAGCCTTCACACGACACCTACAGATAAAGACACACACACACACACAACCACGATTATAGTTTCAGGGCAGCAGAGTAGTGCAGTGCTGATACTCGCGGCTCACAGCAAGAAGCTCCTGGGTTGGATCTCCGACTCGGGCGCCTCTGTGTGTGGTGGCTGAGTTCTCTGCCTGCTCTGAGGGCCAAGCTCAGGGCGTGCTTCTAATCCCCTGACGCTCCGCTTCTCAACCCTGCTCATTCCACGGCGAGGGAGTAGAGAGGGCCGGGGGTAGGGGCTGACGTCTGTCTGCTGCTGTCTGCTGCCGGACCGCACACGCGCCACCAACACACAGAGAGGGGAGGGTGGGAGGTGCCAGAGTGGGGGCCGGATCGGCCACTGAACGGCACGGAGGAGACTTCGTCTGGACTACAAACAGTGATGAGGTTCTTTCCTTTACTATCATTCCGAAAATACCGCGGCACACCAGTGACTTTGCCGCAGCACCCCCGTCTCCTGCGGCACGCCGGTCTACCGCTGCACACCAGTTGGGAAGCGCTGCTGTAACTCTCCGCTGTGCGAGACCTCCAAGTGGACGCCTTGTCTCACGACGCGACGGCGATGACACAACGAGAATTTACTCGGGAGGACAACGTAGTTATATATATATATAAAGAAAAACCAGCTGAGCATGTTACCGCATTTGTTTTAAACGTGATAGAATTCAGCAATATATATATTGTTGGTTATATTTGCAATATACTAACCCTACGGAAGTACAGTATATAGCTACCGCATGTGGAAACACAGAGCTCTACGGAATGCACTCTAATTTCCAGGGTTAAGCCAAAGCATAATCACAACAATGGGAGACTTATGGTTTCTCTTAAACAAGAGGAAACGAGGTTGTGTAATTTGCTGTTACCATCTAAAGGTCACAAGCAACTCGATTTAAATCGGGGGAAAGACTTCATAACATGGCCACAGGCCTGTATGCACACGTGATTTATGTTTTATCTTGCACATACGACAGCAGAAATCGACACTCCTGTAACAAGGGGTGCACTCTTACGTTAATTCCAGTTGTGATCTCCTTCAATTGAGCAATGCTCTCCTCTTTCCTGTTGGAAGTCTCATCCAGAAACGTCAATTTGGCTTGCAGCGATTGCTAGAATGGAGACACAAACGCAGCAACGGTCACGTGTTGAATGCAGCAACTTGTTAATTAACTACGGCGCCCTCATAGCTGGCCCGGCGGCTCAAACGTCACAGCACTGATTGGCACTGCCGCGGTCCTGGCTTAGCATCAGAGCGGCTGCCTCCTGTGAATAAAACCACATTCTCGAGTGGAGTGAAGAGGGGATGGCCTCTGCCCGGTCATCAATGATTGCACGGTTGTTGTTTTTTGAAACACATTTAATTTGGTTCTCCACTTTATTTCGTTAAAGTCAAGTTCTAAGAAGTTGAAAGTATCGGTCTGACCGCCATGCGATGAACACGACTTTCTGAGGTATTGCCGTCCCCTACTGTTTGAACCAGAGGCTGCTTGATGGGATCTCTGAAACGTGACGACGGCAGCTCCACGGGGATATGATTTGGGGTGAAGGACAAAACAAACCTTGGAGCCACGGCACAGGACGGGGAGGATGTGAGCCAGGTGTGGTGGCGCACACCTGCGATCGAGCGCTCCAGAGGCAAGGGTTGATGGGTCACAGAGATATTTGTGTAATACACAATCCCACTGGGCAGAGATGAAAGTCGAGCAAGTGGATTTGCGAGCTCCGTGTTGACCTTTCAGCGTATCTCCCTTGCAGGTGATGATGACATTCGATGAAAAAGAGAGTGAGGAATTCCTGGATAAATCAATTTAGATTTCTTCATTTTGTCAAACTGCTGCTGAATCAAGCTATCGCTGATCTGTGTGCTTGTTTGACCACACTTAAGCACACTGCTAAGTGCAGGTTGGTACAGGTTGGTGCAGAACTGAAGCCCAGAATAAATTTCAATATCACTTTCCACCAATATATGTATGTTGAACTTCTTTCGCACCATACATAGACAACCGTGCTAATCGGAGGTGCCATGGTCGGGAATCAGACTCAGAAGGCCATGTTCATAGCTAACGCACACAACCTCTGAGGGCCCCATCCAGACTCTAGAGCTGTCATCAACTCCCCAGGTCCCCCAATGGTTTTAAGCCACAGAAGAGGACCTTGAGCAGGGTGGGTGTAGCCATCAGTACATTCAGTGGCGTGGCGAGGTTGTCGTGGGCCCTGTTACAAGAAATTATTTGGGAAAACCCCTCTGTCCATTATCCCCCTCTTCGTAGCCCTGCACCTGGGCTAGATTTTCCACCTCTGATGTGTAAACATATCTGGGGCACATCATGGTGAGAATACTGTAATATCTCTAAATAGCAGAAGAGGAGAGTTCTACATTACTATTGTATTATGAAACATCTCACTCGACATTTGGGCCTCTGCTCAGCAACTGTTTTTTTAATTAAATAAAAACCTTTGAACTTTTAAGGTGCAGGAAGGATGAAACAGATGTCTCAGAAGAGCCACCTCAAAACGAGGACGATCCTGGGCCAACTCAGGACAGGCATGTTCGTATGTACGTTGAACTTCTTTCACAGCGAGCGTAGCCAACCGTGCTAATTGGAGGTGTGGGGAAGGTCAAGAAAACCCAAGCCCAGGCCCTTGTAGCGCACCGGCCCGGTGCAACGGCACCTCCCAAACTCGTCGGCCGCTCCGCTGAAGGCGCTGGAAGTGAAGGTTTATGCCGATCGCGTCCTGGAACCTCTCACCTTCTTGTCGAGCAGCTCCTGCTCGACCGTGACCACGCGGTGCTGCTTGTGCCGCCCCAGGAGAGGGCACAGGCCGCACACCGAGACGCCGTCGTCTCGGCAGAAGAGCTCCAGCGCCTTGCCGTGCTCGGGGCAGCGGATGGCGCTGAGGTCGCGCACGGGCTCCGTCAGGTTGTGTCCCCGGAACGGCGGGCTGCGCAAGTGGGGACGCACGTGCATCTCGCAGTACGAGGCCAGGCACGTGAGGCACGTCTTGGCGGCCGGCAGCTTACTCACGAGGCAGAAGTCGCAGGACGGGAGGGAGCCGGCGTCCGGCGCAGGGCACCCCGCGGCGTCGTGGCCCGAGCCGCCCGGGCGATCGTCCGCGCCGGCGGCGACGACAGCGGCGACCCCCTCTGGGACGATCCCCTCCTCCGGGGCGACGCGCTGGGGGGCCCGTGCTTCGCCCTGGCACAGAGGGCACGAGCTGCTGCTGCTGCCCGCGCCGGCCGCGTCGGTGGTGCAAATGCCTTTGGTGCATTGGGAGCAGAAGTTGTGGTTGCAGTCCAATCGGATCGCGTTCGTGGAGACGTTTTCGCAGATGGAACAAGGCGAGCCACGTTCTGGAGAGTGCTCCATTCTCGTCACGCCTGTCAACAGAGACACTCCCGAGTGAAACTCGGCCAATGTGCGATGCTCGATTAAGCATCGGGCATCAGATTCAGAAGCGAGACAAAAGCAGTGGGTTGATGGAGGTCTCCTCCCCCAAACCCTGTTGGTCATGGGGGTTGTGTAACCATACTTCACCACGCTGGCCAGCGTGAGTTGGCTGAAGTTGAGTGGGTGGTGGAAGCGGTAATCACAACCGGTTCACATATCGCTCGTCTATGCTCCTCGAGCACCGTACAGTGACGGTGTCTGGAAACACGGAGGAACAAAGCCGAGGGCGAGTGGCCGCAGCTCGGGCACGACGGCGGCCCGGCGAGACGTCGTGGACAAAGACAAAGATCCCCCGTATAGCTTTAACAGACTGTTGGGGCAAGTGCTGTTAGCGAGCACCTATGAAGGCCGGCACGGCCCACGAAGGGGTGGGTGGTCAGCGCAACGCACCAGGTACTCGTTTGAGGCTGAGTCGATCTCGGGAAGGCCCAGGACCAGCTCAGACAATCGTGGACGGGAATCGCACTCGGGTGGCCGGGTCCCTGTCGCGGTACGCTGACCGCTACGCCACCGCTCCCCGTGAACAAAGACACGCACCACGGGCTGAGAGCGGAGACGTCTTCTGTTCCTTTTAACATTTTTATTTCGTGAAAAATGGTCCAGTTAAACCACAGCTATCGTGGTTATTTATCACTTCGCTTGTTTACCCAGGCAAGTCTCGCCGAGTCTCAAGACTCCTCCCCAGGAGGGTCCTGTCAAATTTTTCGCAGCACGGGCGGAGATGATGTTGCCATGTTTAATGCCAATCGAGTGATTTCTAGGTAATCTTTCAGCAGTGTTTGTTTAGCCAATGCTGTTTACAGTGTGGGGTTTTCTTGTACTGTAGGAGGAAACCGGATGACACGGCCCGGAGCGAACCCAAGCAGAACAGGCAGAGAACATTACTCACTCACTCCGCACGAAAAATAAAGGCACCCGAGTTGTAAATGAAACCCAGACGCTTCTTGCTGCGAGCAGCACGAGTGCTGACCACTGCGCCACCACTCACGAAGCCCAACACTGTCAGCCCTTCCTGGGAGACGAGCTGCGGGAGCTGCTCGTGCAACGGCACGGCAGCACGATGGTGGTCAGTCAACCCCGACAGCCACAACTCCACCACTTCCATGCCACTGCCAGGGCCCAGACCGCGGACACGGCGGCGGCTGCTGCTGCTGCTGCTGCGCAGAGCCAGAGCGAGCAGCAGCAGCACGGACAGCACGGACGACTCCACGTCTCCGTCTCTCGGCAAAGAAAACGCCCCGCGGGGTAAAACGTTCACGCGTACTTCGTCACCGTCCGTCGACGTCAATCAGGTGACAAGTTTCACCGAAGGAGCCTCTCCCATCATCCCACTCGCCCGGCTCACAAGCGGCCAGGCTCACCGCGACCGGAGCTCGCCTCTCACCTGCTGCTCCGTGCGGACAAACCTCGCCCCGCTCGCCCCGCTCAGCCTCCTCGCTCTCACGCGCGCGACACGGAACTCCCCTCCCGCTCTCACGCGCGCGACACCCGCGGGACCCCCCCCCCCTCTCTTCCTCCTCCCTCTCCCGCTCAGCTCCGACGATCTCACGTCGCTCGGGGCGATTCGCTCGCTCGGTTGGGGAAACCAGAGGGGCCTCGGGGAGGATGTCCCGTGCCATCACGCGCGTCTCGATCGTGGGCTACGCGATATCGCCGCCGCTGGATACATGTCAATGATTTACATTCGTAAGGCGCATTTCCATCCGTAGATCCCGCGCTGTCAGTCATGACGGCTGCTTGCCCACACCTGGCCACCCTGCTGAGTGCAGGCAAGTGAAGGGGACGATCGGGGGGGTGGGGGGAGCCAGGCCAGCGAGATACCATTTATCACTCACGTTGTAGCCGTGCCGGCATTGAACTTGGGCCTTAGACTAAAGTCCAGCGTGCCGCCCGCGTCTTTAAACAATCCCCGGATTGCACTGCACATCGCGGTGGCCATTGCCTCGGTGTACAGCGTGATCCCTGAACCACAGCGATGGAAACAACGCATTTGCCTTGCTCTCGAACTCCAACTGGTGATGATAACCCCCACTGGCGATCTCCAAGAAACACGCGGAGCACAGGATCGGGGAACACATGCAAACTTGAAACATCGCTTTTTGAAGTTTAAGATAAATAAGTTGTCCTGGGCAGGACACATCCTAGCTCGAGGGGATGACCCCGTCTGGGAGGATGAGCGACGAGATCGACTCAGCTGTAGACGTTGGACGACTTCTGTGGCGTTGCACGACTCTGAAGGATGGAGACGTGCACGGTCTAATGATGACACTGATCTCGAGGAACTGTATAATTGAGTCAGTGCCTTCGTTATCTGTGAATGTGGGGGGGGGGGGGGGGTGTGATCGTGCCCGAGTGCTCCCAGTGGTTGGACGACATCGTCCTGTGGAGCGGCAGTGACCTCTCCGCTCGAGACGCCCACAGTTCAGGACTCTGCGCTTGTGTCCAGGATACTGGCAGGAGGCAGTTCCAACGTATCTACAAGTTCTTGGCTATTGGCCAAAGTAGATCAATGTGTAATAATCTAGTTTTCTGCAAATGTATTATTAAAACGTTTTTTTTTTTAAAGTACTGTATTGACATACCGAAAGAACCAAAGAGTATGGATCCTTGCAGTCACGAAAACTTCAAATCTACTGTATTGACTTCAAGATCCGGCATGGGTGTGCTGCTCCATGCTGCTACCTCACGCTTCCTCACCTCTGCTTCCCTTGTGCTCCAGCAAGCAACGTCGCATCTCAAATCCTCCCAATGATCCCACCCCACCACCTGCTGCTCCCGTGAGTCGGCACTCCCCGCCCATCACAGCGATCATGACCCGATCCTCTCGTTCAAGCACATACTAAAGACCCGCTTAATTCGCCCGATGACTTTATTTGACTCTTGCACACGTGAGGCTCATGTACAGTTGTTTATTGACCGAGTAGTTGATGACCGCGTGAGTGCATGCCTGAGCATGTGCTCGCCGAGAAGGGAGCTCAAGGCTCAGCCGCAGCACTCGGGCAGAAGTCCTCACGCCTCGGATGTGAACGAGGCCCCGTTTCCTCGGCCCCTTCTGCGAGATTCCCCAACCCCCTTCCTCCCCGCACGACCAAATCTTCTCTCTGCCCTACGCGTGCCCCTTGGCACCCAATGAAGGTGTACGGCGTGTATGTGTGTGCGTGCCTTCGTTGGACAGAAATCTAGGATTGGGGGATATGGTTCCGGAGCAATGTTATACAAAACCCTCGTTCCAAACAAACACTTGAGTAGAACACGTCACATTGATGTAAGGGGTTGCTGTAGAACATGGCCAAGCGAGTGATGTCGTGGGGCACGTGCCTCGTTGCTGCAGTGACCCCATGTCGCCGTGTGGCTGTCTCGTCCGGGGGTCATCTCAGGTGAAAGGGGGCAGCACTTTAGTACGATTGCGAACAGCCATGATTTGTAAAAATGGGTCTCCCTGGAGACAGACCCTGCCAGAGGCTGTCAAGACTCACACGGTGTGCGAGACTCACGCGGTCCACCGCCCTCGCACGCACGCGCACACGCAACCCTCCACACATCAACAACAAACGTCATGCGCCACGAACTTTCACACACATCCATGCCATCGTCACACTCACACACGCACTCATCGCCACCGCCACCCCTTCACCGCAACGTAGATGGAAGATTGTACCAGCCAGTGCTGCTGGAGGCAAGAGATAGCCTCGCGAATTTCCATTCTTGAAACCTAGAGGCCCCAAACTCCACGTGCTCCAGCCCAGTCTGGCTGCAGCAGCTTCACAGTGACCACGCAAACAAGGCGTCTCTGCTCTTGTCTGTGTGTACGTACCACGCTGCACGTTATCTACAACACACTCCCACATTGCCCTGAGCCTTGTCACCCCCCAGCCTCTCCTCCTGTGATCTCTCCCCTGTAGTTACAGCCACATTATCAATGGCATTCACGTGGAACCGATTGAATGATTATTGCAGACTATAACAAGGAGTGTCCCTGCTGGAAATGATTGGTACATTTCCGTGGAGTATTTCTGAACATGAATAGAAATCAAAGTTTGTTCTGGGAGAAAACCTACGAGAAAATTAAATAAACGTAAACATCTACGTAGATGTAGTTATTCATAAAGCCGCTTTGCTGCTGCTGCTGATGCTCCTGTGGGTGGGCATCTCATCAGTGCAATCCACTTCCCCGTCTCGACTCCACTGCCTTACAGGTGTGCACCACCACACCCAGGCAGCTATAAACCCACGTAGTATTGCACCAAACACTTCGCTATTCTTATTTTCAAAAGTGTCCCGTCGACGGAGCGCCTGCTGTTGACAGCCCTGAATCAGTGCTCAGCTCTCATGAGCACAGTTGGCTACGTACGGTGCGAAAGACGTTCAACGTACACACACACTGCCCTGAGCCAGGGTGGACATTCCTAACTCCTATGGCAGGAACGGATTAACCCATAGGACAACCGCTGTTGGCTACCTGCACAGCGCTTATCATGTTATTGACTCGGGGGGGGGGGGGGATGACGGGTTGTATCGACAACTCCGATTATGGTTTCACTCGCTTCTGCCATATGAATGTGGACACTCTACCACTCGGCCAGGGCCGACAAGCAGTTGAGCACCAATGTTGACCCTTGCTTGTGATCATTTTGGGACGATGCGTGTGCAAGACATGGAAAACGACAATAATGCCATCCGCACGCGTCAACAACTGGCACGTGCTGAAAATGCGTGGAAAGCCCCCAAAAACCACAGTGTTCAGAAAGCGAGTTTTCGTTGAGAATTGGCAGATTAAGTGGATGAGTAAAGTTGATTGTTACGTGTTTTATTTGCCTATCTGTGTGATGAGAATTAGCAATGAAAGCCATACGAATGTGGATTGTGAAGTGTCACAATGAAGCGATCAGCATGGGTTATCCTGATGCTGTGTACATGGGTTTACGTTTAAAAACAGAACATCCCATTGCATTCACATCTTCATAATCGAATGGGGCGAACATATTCTGTTCTTATCAATTTTTTGTGGGTTTTTTTGTGTTAAAAATAAATACTTTAGTTCAACACAACCATCGCATACCTCTCATATCTGTGGATGAGGCTTGCAGAGCGAGTTCAGAGGGGCACATTCCAGTCCACGCTCGCTCAGGTGAGCCTCGCAGTGCACACTCACAACCGACTTCTGCAGTGCAACTTGGCGAACAAACATCTAGATTGCCAGTGCTGGGTTCTGTAGGGCAGGCTTGTCATTGAAGCTGTGGTATCGTGTAGTGCCCGGGCAGCTAAGACTTGTGTACCCACGTGTGGTGCCCGGGCAGCGATGACTTGTGTACCCGCGGCTTACGGCTTCCGCTGTTCATTGGGGGCTGCCACAACTCGCCACGCTTGTGCTCACACTGTACCACCGCCCACGCAGCTGTACGCCAACTTGGCCACACAAATGATGAATGATACAATTGGCAATGACATTTATATCTCTCTCAATATCCACATGCGTCTTGTTTGTACCCAGCGCATTGGCTATGATGACGGTGATGGATGAAGGTAACATAGTCGCTGTCTTCCCTGACGCCATCGATGATTCATGATTGTATGTGCGTATGTTGAACTTCTTCCGCACCGTACGTAGCCAACCGCTCTAATCGGAGGTGCCGGGGAAGGGCACCTACGATTGTTGAGAGTGAAATGGTGGTGGTGTTTACCATCACAGATTAAACTATTGAATAGCAGAGACACACATCGAAAACTATTTTGCTGTACGTGTTATATTTTATATTGCTCGAGCCGCATTAGGGCTCTGTTATCACCGCTAACAAATCAACACAGTCTCTACGCTCAGCCGCGAGTAGGGTCGTGCTCACCTGCACTGGCGAATTCACATTCCCATGGCGGGGCCAAGTCTGTCCGCGCAAACCACTGTCGCCTTTTGTAAAATGAGCGCAGAGGGCAAACACAGCGTGCTTGTAAGCGCCCACAAACTCTGCGATTTGCCCTTCTCAGACCTTAGAGGTGACCAGGACTCCAGAGTCATGGATCAATACCCTCCCTTCGTGCTGGGCGCCAGAGGGCAGCGCAGCAACAGCGAGTCTCGACTTTCTATGCCTCACGAAATGTGCTTTTATTTTACTTGCAGACAGAATGTTATCACCCACATTCTCTCACAGGCAGCAGTTTACAGAGATCAATCCGAATATCTGTGTCCCGGATATCTGCCAGCCGAACGGAGAGACGAGCGAGCAGGATTGATGCTCAGCGACACGCACAGAGGCGTCAGCGGTGCACCGAGCAGCGGATAGAGCACGGCTAATTGTAACACAAAACAATCAAGAATATCGACCCATATCTAACAGATACTGTACGTGCCGGCAAACATCTGGCAGTTCGCCAGCGTTTGTTTGAAGCGAGTCTACCTGGCGACAGGTCACGTCAAAGTCCGTGTTGGATGTTTGCTTCTCCTGGCCACACGGTGACGACGGACGTCCCAGCAGGGCCGGCACGGGGTGCCGTGGCACGGACACAGACGCACTTCCAGCTAGGCCTCGGCAAGGTAAGGTCATTTACCCTTTGTACCGGGTAAAAGGGTAAAGGTAAAGGTGTCGACATGTCAAGGGGTAAGGTAAATGGTAGGGTAAAGGTAGCGCGAAGTATTACCCGGTAAATACGGTACCTTGTTTACCCCCACAGTCTGTGGCCTCCATTTAATAAGTAATGTTTTTTTTTTTACTTTATTTTAAACACGATTTTATTAAATGTACTAGTAATGGCAGAACTCCACGAATCCAGGAAGTGTCCCCGAAACTTGCCACAACGTAAGGGGCCGTGGCCAATTACAGCCAACGTCAGTTGGCCGTGGACAATTAGACCCAAGCCGAAACATTACATATAAAAAATAATGTTTAAAAACAGATATTTTTATGATATAATATAGTGTTGTCATTAGTATTATATAAGTATACCAAGTTTGCAGTCGATACCACATTGGGAAGTGGGTTAAAATTGAGTTATACGATTTTAGGACACAACAACGACAACAACGACAACAACAACAACAGTGAGTTCAAAGAAAGCGTGTAAAATTGCAATCGGGAGTATTATAGCATTTACCGTTATAAACCTTGTTCATGTGTAGTAGTACCCCAGTAATTACCCTGTAATCGGATCATTTGTATGGGGTAAGAGTAAAAGGTAGGGTAAAGGTAGGCTCGTTGCTTTTACCTTTTACCTTACCTGCTAAAGGGTAAAAGGTAGGGTAGAGTGGTTGTATTGTGGTAAGGTAAAAGGTAGGGTAGAGTGGTTGTATTGTGGTAAGGTAAAAGGTAGGGTAGAGTGGTTGTATTGTGGTTAGGTAAAAGGTAGGGTAAAAGGTAGGGTTGTTTTTTTAAACATTTTAACTTGTACCTTACCTTGCCGAGGCCCACTTCCAGTCACAGGTCTTCGAATGTGAAAGTCCTTTTTTCAGTAACTTCCCGTGACAGTGACTTCCCACTTCTCAAAAAAAGATATAAAACGCACGGTTCAAGGGAGCCAACAAGACACTTGTTATCTCTAACACACCAGCATAGCTTGTGTCTGAGAGGCGGGCTTCATTCCGAGATATTCTGGTCCAGTCTGCAAACGGGCGAGAAGCTGTAAAGTACAGAATGAGTCCATGATGGATGTGTAGTGTCATAGCGCCGGCTGGTGGACAGGAGCGGCAGCTGTGGTGGACAGACGGCGCACACGCAGGTGAGGGCGTGCACCGCGTGTGGGCAGAGCGGAGGAACTGGGACAAGGGTCACGGAGGACCCCGTCTGGAGGCCCCTGGAACCTGCTGGCGGGTTCGAGAAGGGGGCGTGGTCAGGGCGGAGCCAGGCCGCGCCGGGAGCATAAAAGGAGCCGGGAGTGGGGGGCTCGAGGCTGCCGGTGCTGGGAGTGGACTCGTCTCGTCGTCGCTGTCGTCTCGTCGCCGTCGTCGCTGAACGTCTCCGCTAGACATCGCGCTACGTAGGAGAGTAGTTGGCTATCTCAGTCAGTGCCGTCCGTGTTAGACAGCCGGTGTTGTGTGCAGGCTGGGCTGAGCTACTGTGGAGAGTGTGCAGACGAGACCGTGGAAGTTGTTAATAAAGAAAGTGCCTCCTAGAAACTCTGTCTCTGAATTGTTGACACTGCAGATGTAAGGATACGTTATAAAGTAGGTTCCCTATGCCCAGATAAGGTTGTCCTGGGCGTATGCTTGGCCATTGGCGTTTGGAACAGCAGTCTATAAATAGAAACAGTACTCAGATTGTAAATGTTGTAGGCTTAGCTCTCCAACACACCGGCGTGCTGTACTAGACTAGTAACGAATTGGCACGTTCTGTTTGTGACAACCCTTACTAGTTGGCTGTGTCGGGTGGTGGCGGGTTTAACGATACATTTATATATTTCCGCGATCTAACCCTAAATAAACCTGTATTATGTATGATGCTGCGTGTTAAACCAGAAATAGCGATTCCTGCTCGACCCCATGCTCGACCCCAGGTCATTGCGTGGCATCGCTTCCCAGTGGCTCGATGTTGCTCGTGCTTATTCACACGAATTCTATTGCGCCACGGTGCCTTTAACTAAATAAAGCTTCCCTTGCATTCATTCTCATCAAAATCATCATGAGCCAAGTAAACAACGAGACATCATCTCCTCCACCCCCATATCTGTCTCTCCACACACACAAATTAAAGCATTTTATTTGTCCACATCCCATCAGCCCACACGTTCCTTCTCGGAGTGCGTCATCCTCAACAGGCAATTGGTTCAATGCGGGCGTGTGTGTGGTGACCCCACACCAGTGACCATTGTCTGAACCGGTTATGGGCATCCCCTAGGTCGACTCAGCCTCAAATGAGTACCGAGTGCGGTGTGTAAACAAATTGCGACTGGGGAGACAAAGGCGGCCAGATGTGGTGCTGTCCACCCCACCCCCTCGTGTGCCGTGCCGGCCTTTCATCGGTGCTGGCTAACAGCACTTGCCCCAACAGTCTAGTTAAGTATCGACTTAAAGCTTTCGTGACTGCAGGAATTCATATTCTTTGGGTATTTCGGTAAAGTCACGAGAAAAAATAATAATAAAAAATGAAAAGAAAGTGAATTAAAATTAATAAAAACATCAGGAGATGATGACGATTGCTTGTGTTGCGATCGAAACGTCGTGATATTTTTATTAGTTTTTATTCACTTCATTTTATTATTATTTTAATGTTATTATTTTTTCTGCTATCTACGTGCCTTTACCGAAAGACCCAAATAATAGTCTGGTTAAGGCTACACGGGGGATCTTTATCCAAGTGTAACACACAGTCTCAATCTCTCATCCGTTAGCCCACACGGACAACGCCGCTCAACTCCCCCCACTCAATCCCGCCCCTCCTGGACAACCCACGAAAGAGCTTCACAGCTTCTCGGATTCTTCCTGCGGGCTTCAGTGAAGATTCTCTCCCAACGATTCCGAATCATCATTTGCAGGGAATCGATTCCGCGGCCCACCTTGATTCTCACGGAGTCGCGGAATCGATCCGCGGCGGTCACGTGCGCGCGCCGTCACGTGACCGGGGGCCGCCATCTCTCCGCGTCTCCCGCTCCGCTCTGCGACCTCCCGCCGGGGGCCAGAACCACGCCCGGCCGCCTTTGTCTCCCCACCGCTGATGTTTATAACGCCACGACCAGGTACTCAATCAATGCTGAGTCGACGGAGGGGGGGAGAGGGCCCAGGCTTGGGTTCATTTATCGCTTCGCTCGCTCGCCACTGATGTTGGCCGTGAGCGGGAGTGTCGCTCGCCTCGTCCGCCCCCCTCCCCCGTGTGCCGTGCCGCCCTTCATAGCTGCTCGTCGCTAACAACGCTTGCCCCAAAACTAGGTCGAGGCTATAGGGGGTATCTTTGTACAGATACGCGTGTCAGTGTGGGTGGTGCTGCAGTGAAGGCCTTAACGTGCACGTAGCCTGGTACAGGTGCCGTGGTGACGTCACCGACACTTAGTGGCGAATGGCGGTGGTTGTTGGTGCTGCAGTGCAACCTCAAATGTGCACATAGCCTGGCACAGGCGCCGTGGTGACGTCACTGGCAGGTATTGGCAGTGCAGCAAGGGCCCTTCTGTGCTTCGTGCGCCGTGTCTGTGTCTCTCTGCTCGTCGCTCTTCCCGCTGCCACTCTGTGCCCCCCCCCCCCCCCGTGCTTCTCCCATTGTGGTTTGCGCTGCCCATCGCTGCCCGCATCAACACGCTGCCCTCATCAACACGCTGCCCTCAACACTCTGCCGCACTCTCTCTCCCTGTGCTGCCCGCCACTCTCTCTCCCTGTGCTGCCCGAGTGCCCATGCTGGCCGTGCTGACTGCACGCACCAAACGCGGACCGGGGTCTTCAGACACGGGAAGAGACGGAAACATGGAGAGAGACGTGTATATGTAGAGGACCGCAGAACTTGGGGAAATAATTGGCGCCGGCTCATTGCGAAGCTGCTGCCTTTAAGCTTGTCTGTGGTTCCTCCTCGCACTTGCGTTTCTCAAACGAGACACAGATGCATTAATAAAGATTGACACACGCAGATATTGACATCTACGGAGGGACTCGGGGACAGACGTGGAGAAAGAGGAATACGTATGGAGGAATACAAACGAAAATGAAGAGATTTATATAGAGGCATTGAGGAAAGAACACATTGAGAGAGACAAATAAGTAGAGGGATAACGCTGGAAAGGAGAGACACAAACATGGATATATTAAACTGAAAGAAGGAAATCTCAAAGACGTGCAGAGAGACGTGGAGAGAATGCTACAGTGCTAAGACGAACACAAGTGATAGTAAGACAGCCACAGGAGGGAGACGAGTGTGTGGCCCCTGACAAAGTGGGGGTCCTGTGCACGTGAATAGTTGTGTATGCAGCACACGGCACCCCCACACACGTCTCCCAGTGCCTCGCGAATCCTCCAACAGCAGACCGCAAACTTCCACATTCCGCCCTCGCACCTCGGTCACCCGCTCTGCGCTGCCTGTGGCTGAACGTGCCACGCCTCCACTCCCACCCCCGTGCTGCTCCTGCTGCTGTCCCATGCTTCCTGAATTGCAGGGACAGCCTTGTGCCTTTCCAGAAAGCCTTCCAACTTAAGTATTACATTTGGCAGTTGGTTAAAGGTAGCTTTTGAAAATAGTTGGAGTAATAATGAATGTGCGTTCTACGTGCCGCGTGTGTGTGTCCTGACAGTGCTGCGGCGCTGCGCGAGGCGCTGTCATGGCTTCGCTGTTTGACCAATACGAGGATGCGCAGTCACGGCCTGGGTACCAGCAGCAGCAGCGGGCGAGCGAGCCCTTCTTGCAGTCTGGTAAGCGCGAAATGCAAGGAACACAACGCACTTTCATTATTGGCTGATGATCCATTTGGAGTTCATAATCGCCAATTTTGCATGAAACGGGTGGATATTAAATTTAGCTTTTCTGGGCTGGTCCGATATGAAATCCTTGACACTCACGAGAGAGTGCATAAGTGGTGGCAGTGAGCTTGCTGCTCCGAGGGGCTATTTTGAAAACTCGGTGCGTAGTCAGTATTGCCCTGGCCTGGTTTAAACTTGGGATGACCATTTAAATGAAGGATACTGCATCAGTTGTGTTTGGCCGTTTTTACTAGATGATTCGATCAGGCTGCAAATCACTACACAAAAGTAAGTCTTAAAATAAATATGCATTTGCTCATAATTTTGTTGAACTTTTGCAAATTATGTTTGAAACACAAAATAAACAACTTGTGAAAAACTGAAGAGTTGAGTTTTAAAGTTATAATCCCATAAACCCTTGTTTGTTGGTGGAGCGATAAGATTAGCTTGCATGCAGGGCATAGATTGAAAGTGTGCAGTAATACACACATCTAAGAACCCATATAAGCTTAGCAAGTCACAATTGGTTCATTAATGGTCACACAAATATTTTGTCGTTGTATTGCTATCCAAATACGCGTGCTGCGCTGCTACGTGTGGCTTACACCTGGCACACAAAAAAAATATTCAACTTGTACAATTATTCAACACTGAACATTAATAAATATGATAGTCACACTGCTGTATTATAATTTCTGATTAATATAAATGAATACATTTAACTTTTGTTTTGTCTGTAATTGTGTTACAACATTACATTTTTTTGCACAATTTAGTTTATTTCTTACATAGTTTGAACAAGACATGAATCTTGTAGTGGTTATTGTTAAATTGCGATGTTTTGTTTGTGCTTGTCTAGGTATTGTCAGTGCACGGCTTGAGGATGAAACGCCCATTTTCAGCAAAAAGAAGATCAATTTCACACCCACCCAGCCCATCACCTACCTGGTCATTTCCAACAACCAACTGTGTCTGGCGATGGGGAAGAATATGCTGTTGAGGTGAATAATATATATTTTTATCATTGTATAGGTTTT